GACCTCAGTGCAGCCAGTCTGTCGCCGAAACCATTCGGAACAGACTTCAAGGAAAAGTGAGACAAGGTTGGTGCTATCGTTAAATGCCATTATAAACTTGGACCCCGTTGGCTTGACCCACTGGAAGGTGGTAGTTATCGGACGCTGCGGGGCATACTCATTTTTCCAAAATGCCTTAGATTTTTCTTTCGTGTTCGATGCTCTATATTCTTTAGCCAGAGGGGGGCCCACTAATGATCAGTGTCCTAACCCTCAAAAGTTTCCAACGTTATTTTTTACTTATTTAATAGTGAATACTGAAATAAAGCGGATACTGAACTGTGAACATCCAGTTTTTACACTGGCCCCACACAAGCCTCCGAATGCCCAAAGCAGATCTCTGATGACTGGCCTTTGGGTGTCATACCGTGCATTGGTCAATGTGGTCAATGAGTACGACCCCGGCGTTTATCATGTTACTTGCACTGGAAACTGTTGCGCTCGAAAAAAAAAAATCAGGGTAGTGGCTAATTACGAGCGTTCATCAGTCCTAAACTACCCGCAAGCGAGTGGCTAGCCCTTCCGTCTCCGCTCGCTTGCGATTTGGCATTCATGTATAGGTACAAAATAGCGGCAAACGACCATTGAGGGTGTGAGTTGCGTCTCTTGCACACTTAACCCGCGCCCCGCTGGGCTATTCAGCCATACGCGCCCTGCTGGGGGGGGGGGGGGGGCAGATTCTGCCCCCCCTGTCTAACTTCCGAACCGATGGTCGTAGAAAGACGGGGAAAACGGCAATCGAAAGCTCTCAACAAGGCGGATCTTAAGAGTCCAATTTTTTTTGCTTAAGTAGGTCAGAGGTCAGGTCAAGGTCAGGTCAAGGGTACAAAATGCAAGTTTCTACAGTATCGGCCTTGCACCGTAGTTGCCGAAGAATGGACTGAGACTGATTGCCCAAAACGTGTTCTTAGACTACCAAGACAACATTCGTTGCACACAATGTCATTCAAAGGTCAAGGTCAAGGTCAGGTCAGGTCAGGTCAGGTCACCAAAAACAAAATATAGAAAAGGGCATGTGCGACACATGTTTTATGGGTCATTTTACTCATGGAATTCAATAGGCACACTCAATAAGTGATATGGATCACCTCTGGATGAATTTCAGGTCGAGGTCAGGTCAAGGTCAGGTCAAGTGAGGTCAAATTTTGAAGTTGGTTGTTAAGGTCTAAAAAGGTGTCTATCCGATGCAGTTTTTCACGGCGAATCGAATGGTGCTATTTTTGTTTCCGTACGAGGTCTAGAATTTCCAAAAAAAATCATTTTTCAAAATTTTTGTGTGTCGTGACGTCATAAAATTTTGAATAACTCCCACATTTTTGAACCGATTCTTCTAAAAATTGGTATGTAGGTGCACGTAGACCACTTCTTTGACATATATTCCGGTTTTTTCGATAAACTCAAAATTTTGGATTTTATAAATATTTTCCCAAAAAAGTCAGTTTTTTGGAAACATTTTGGCCAAAATCCAAAATTTTCAAAAAATCGAGATAGCCATTTGATAGACAAAGTAGAATCACGTATAACCTTTTTTGTTACGTCTTGATTCCTTTAAAAATGAAGATGTTAGCGGCGTTTGAAATTTTGCCGTTTTTGAGGCGAAAATGGCGAACATGACGTCACTAAAACGTCAATTTCTCAAAAATTTTCCGACGGATTTCGCTCAAATTTTCAGGGAACGTGTCAAATTGATGTATGATAAGGTACTGAAAGTTTGACGTCGCTGGCGTAACGCGTTTAGAAGTAATTGGCGAAAAACGGGAGGGGGGGCAGATTCTGCCCCCCCCCCAGCGGGGCGCGGGTTAAAATATCTCTAAATCGAATCTGAAAAGACAAAAAATGCTATGTATAAAGCGGAAATGGTTAGCATTTACACATATTCAAAAGGCACCGTTGGACAAACTGTAGGAGCGCATAGCTGCAATATCAGGCTATGGAAATGTTCCTCATGTTTAGGGCACGAATTATGGAGGGGCAAGAATATACGTTTGTCCCTCCTCCCGAAGTTTCTTAGGGAAGATGCCTCCTCTGCCGCTCCGTGTCCGTCGCCCCTGTAAGCGGTCACTGAAGGTCTGGGTTGCCGCTGCGTCACGTTGACGCTTATAATGCCTCCAAAACTAGGTTGAAGAGAGGAAAAGTTCAATTGAACGCGAACACTTGTCATGAAAGGCAACGTATGATAAAGTATATGGGCATCTGGTTACATCTTCAGATGATCGAACAGAATAATCAGGCCGTATATGTTTCTTGTCTAAGTTTTGTCACAAATTATGGGGGGGGGGGGCAAAAAGATACTTTTGCCCCCCCCCCCCACGAGTTTGCCAGGGGGGGGGGGGCAGCTGCCCCCCCCTGCCCCCCCGAATCCGCCGCCCCTGATAAACAGCATGTCAGGGAAACTGAGGTCTGCCGGTGTCCGACTCCGGACCGAGTGGGTTGCAGTCTGGTCAGAAGGTCTGCTGCAGATGACTGCTCGCCGTGTGTAACTGCCGCTGTGGTTCTGCAGGGCGACTCGGGTGGCCCGCTGATGGAGTACGGCCACTTCCGAGTGGTCGGCATCGTCTCGGCCGGCTACGGCGAGTGCGGCGATCCCCAGGTGATCCCCGAGACGTTCACCCGGGTCAGTGCGTTCCTCGACTGGATCAATGAGACGGCCACCATCCCGGGCACGGCGACCAGGACGCAGCACTGCCAGGACACGTTCATCGAGAACCCGCCCAGCTCCAAACCCTACTGGAGCTTCGATTAGCGCCAGTGTTCCCCTCGTGGCTGAACTGGTCGATCTGGCCGTCTGTCGCACGTATCGGGATGTATTTTCGTGTCTGCACTTTGCAATATACGTTTAAAAACGCATGAATGCATCTGTTAGTGTCATCAACATTTGAAGTTGGAATAAGAAGCTGGGTACATAGGTACATCGCAAGGTATATCACATTCATTCCAAGCAGAAATCACGGCCTAAGCATGGGTTGCTTCTAACAAGATCGATTTTTAGGCACTGTCATTAAATTGTCTAAAACAGCATCAAGCCAGTCAGGTTAAGTTCATTGATGCCTTGATGATAGCGGCTGCTAAAAAATATATTGCTTTTAGGACACATTTCAAAACAATTGGGTTTACAGGCTGATGCTAGTCGTCGCTTCGCTAGCATTGTGTGATGCATTAAAACGTCAAAAGCCGAACTAATAACCAATCACCGAACGTTATCACTCGTCACATCTACAGTGCGTCCTCCTTCATCCAGTAGAGCACGTTACCGGAATCCCGCGTTCCCGGGTGAATCCAGCCACTGTGATTAAAGGCGCTCTGGGACACGTGAGTCACCATCGTACCCCACCAATTACTGTCGCTCGCCTCCCCTAAAACAGCATCAAGCCAGTCAGGTAAAGTTCATTGATGCATTGATGATAGCTGCTGCTAAAAAATGTATGTGCTCTCTGCGGCCGAGGACGCTCAGCGGATCCCAGCCGCTCTGTGAGACCGCCGTCAGCAGCAGCGTCCAGCCGCCGCCGTCGTGGCTGAAGTCGCACAGCACCGGCACCGGCAGCCCGGTGAACCATTAGACGCCGTCGCCGGGGACGCCGAGCGAGCTGTTTCTCAGCTGGAGGCAGGAGCGGGCGCACGCGCGCTCCGCCGGCTCCTGGTAGACGGGAGCCTCCGCCGGGAGCGGCGACGGGCCAGGCTCACATCTCGGCTCCGTCTCAGGAGCAGTGCTTGGCGTCACTTGGAGAGGTGTCTCAGACAGCATGGCTCCACCGTCAGGAGTCGGCTGCTCAGAGGGAGCGCGAACCGACTCCGACACGGGGTCTGTCGGCAGTCGGCACCGGCTCTGGTGTTGTACCCGAGTCGGTTTTCCCAGTCCTACGGAGCTCGAGCTGGGATCCATGGCCGGGACTGTGACCGGTCTGGCGCAGTTTTGTTCAGCGGTAAGCGTTGCCATTTGGAGCGCCGTCACGTCGTTGACGACCGCGTCGAGCCGCAGCTGCTGTCGCGTCAGCTCGGCCAGCGCCCGGTGTCCGGCGTCGGCGCCCGCCTGCAGCCGCTCCAGCCGGCCGGCCAGCTGCCCCAGCTGCCAGCCGCACTGGGCGCGCGACACGGCGCCCTCGACCAGCGGGTTCAGCAGCGCCGACAGCTGCTCGGCTGCCGACGGCTGGTAGGAGTCTGCTGGGAGCGTCGGCTGGTCAGCTGGCTCCTCAGAGACCGGCGGCGGCTGCTGATCGGCGGTGGGCGGCGGCGGGCGGCGGCTGCTGGGCGGTGGGCGAAGGCTGCTGATCGGCAGCGGACAGTGGCTGCTGTGCGGCGGTGGGAGGCGGCTGCTGGGTGGGGTGCCCCGACACTAGGACCAGCGTCAGGAGGACCAGAGCGGGTCGCTGGCGAGACCTCATCGCCACTGCCATCGACCGCGGAAAACGAAGGCCGAGACAGGGCGGGCGAATCGGGAGGACAATCAGGACCAGTGAGCATACACACTAGGTGAATGGAAATGCCACGGTTCGGTTATGGCCAGTGGATGACGAAGGTACAAGAAAGCCTTGTGCTTGCAATTGGGAGAGGTGTGATTGCCAAATAAAAATGATTCTGTTAGGTGGGATAAATTAGGGGCACCGAAGGACTATCTAGTGACGCTGTAGAGCTACTGCCACGCTGTGACAGCTGCACCGCACTTTATTCTGGGTGTATCATAACATGGGAAACGAACATCGATGCTCGACATACCAGTAGTACGCAACTGCATATTTCCGCGTGCAAATTGTTGATCGCTGCCTTACATAAGACCGATGAACTGAATTATCAACAGTCCGCATTCCTCACGAGTATTTACAGGCCATTCCACGGTAGTTGCATCAGGATGTCTCACGAGTTGATGCTCTTCGGTGGCAAAGACTGCTCAGTGCTCGCCCCAGCCCTCGCCTTCAGGCCAGCCCACAACAGGAAGTGCCTTAGACACTTTTGACAAAGTCCAAGGAGATGGCCGCAGATGTTTATATTTCACCAAACCGTACAATCACCGGGTGATTCAGAACATGACTGATTTTAGGTCGTCAATAACATTCCACACATAATGTACCCAATACTTACACATAACGAGCATATAGCACAATTGCTACAAATGACGCCATGCAAAACTCATACGCAAAGAACGGACTGAATAAGAAAACTCACATTTTAGCTACGCAAACCATCGCAGACGAATTGGCATTGATTCGATTCAGGAATCCGTAAAAGAACTCACTACTTTACATATAATCACATATATGGGCGAATGAACACAAAACCTGCGCAAAATGCACGCCCCATTCTAACATGGTCAATGGTAACATATCCGTCCTAAGCGAAATAGTATGACAACACGTGTTCTGTAGTTTCACTCATCCCCTCATGGATATCGGAGACAGTTCATAGCCTCTAGAACACATCGAGATGTCGACATCTCTCTGCCCCCACAGCTCCGTTAAGAGGTCACTTTCCGTGTACAGACTCACTGCTTGTCATCATGACAACGGTTGCCATGGTTACCGCCGCTGTGGTCTTCGCAGACACGTCTGCCGTTAGCTGTTATCGGCGCGTTATAGCCGTTCACACGCTACAGGACGGCGTCGATCTCGTGGTTGAGCTCCGGGTTGCGCCAGTCGGCCGACACGTTGTCCAGGTGGTTGTCAAAGTCGACCAGCAGGCGGTAGGCTCGGTTCTGGAGCAGGCACGAGGCGGCCACACAAGTGCTGTCCGACTCCAGCGCCACGCTGCGGTCAGGCAGAGAACCATCAGAACGGGGTAACGAGCGGTTACCGCATTCTCGCCGGAGAAAATGAGTACGGATGAGTTTTATTTTACTGCACAGGTGTCATGCAACATGTAAAACCCTAGCGGACGTAGTCACGATAGGTGTGACACAGTATTAGGCTAGGCGTAGGTAATAACGAATAAATGGAGCTTTCTGACTTGTGATTTTTTAAAGAATTGACAGAACGACTGCGCAAATTTGTAAAGCGGGATTTCTAACAGAGACCACAGTGCTAATACCACAGATAAGAAGTTATTAACCCGCGCACCGACGGGGGGGGGCGGATATCCGCCCCCCCCCTGAGGTTTTTCGCGAATAGCGGGAAAACCGCGGCGCGTAGCGCCGCGAAATTTGGTATGACTATAACCTCATCAATTTTACACATGGTGTGCAAGTTTGAGCTTCCTACCTTTTAAGGTCAGGTCACCAGGTCACTTTGAATGACCCAACCTCAAGTCACTTTTTTGCAACTTTGTCACCGTGCCACAGCTACAGTAGATGTCGGAGGCCTTTGAAAGTCGCAGGATATTATTAGGTCATTAGTAGCTACAATTTGTATATCTCGGAATTTTGATATCGGTGACCTAAGGTCAGGTCAATTTCGCGACCTCCCCATTTTAAAGGTAGTGTGCCAGCTTTCTTGGACCGTATGGAGTTAATGGCCCAGATAAGGAGAACCGGATTTTTAGAACTTATCCATACCTTCAAAACTCATGGAAACGTCTTAAATTCTTCAAATTTTGAGTACCCCAGTGCGAAATTCGCCCCGACGGGTTGTCGGTCGTACCCCAACCACATTTCACACCACTATGAACAATAAATGCACACACTGAAATCGCTATTACCGATATGCTCATCCAATCAAGTTTCGATAAACCCGTTCATCATCAGCTCCTGCGGTTTCGAACACGCCTGTTAGGTGGCTTCTGATGCTCGTCGAGGTCGGAATTTCCAAATACGCGTGGTGCGTCGGGCCGCGCGCTCTGACTTCGGCCAAGAAAAATGCGTCAGCTGATCATTGTCATTTCTGCCACTTGCGTGTGGTGAAATGGGGTCATAACTTATAAGACGGCTTTTTCATATCAATTATTTTACATAAAATCATATTTCAAACCATAAATAATGTTCGACAGCCAAATAAAAGAAACAATACCAATACGGGCTTACAGTTTAAGGCTCGACATTGTGTTGTCTACGATTAGACAGCTGATAACTCATTCCCGTACGTCGTATGGTCGTAACACTATAATGACCTTTGCTTATTGTCACAAGTGCGCCGCATTCGCGATTGTTGCCCGACGCCTGTTTGCAGGTGAGCCCACTACAGTTGTTATACATATCTAAAAACCGAAAAACTTTTAGGCGAAAAAGGCACTATTCCAGGCCCATTTTTGATTTTTTTTTTGCGATATTAGGTAAAAACAGAAGCTTCTTATCCTAGGAAAAATAAAATGGGAAATCTTTCAAAGGTGGCACACTACCTTTAAGTCAATGGGGGAAAATCAACTCCCTGTTTTTACCACTAAAACGGGTCGGAACGGCCCCATCTACTTTACATGACTTCATATACGATCAACCTTCACTACCTTGAGGTCTGTTTTGCTGTTGGGCAGCTGTGAGGTCATGTGACGTCATCAAAGGTCACCAAAGGTTTTTGGCCAATAACTCCGTACAGGAACAAGATACAGACGCGTGGATGGTCTCATTGTGCTCAGCTCGTCAAGACGCATCGAATGATATACATGATGACCTCGAGGTCACGTGACCTGAGGTCAACCTTTGACCTTGACCTTTCGAGGTCAACATATATATCATTCGATGCGGATTGACGAGAGGATCACGATGATGCCCTTAGTTTGTTCCTATCTTGACTAATTCGAAAGTTATTCGAGAAAAACTCTCTCCATATCTAGCGCCGCCATTTTGACTTTTTCGACCCCTGTGACGTCATCTTTGACCTGACCTGAAAATGACCTTAGTAAAAATTGTAGATCTTGGCCGTGCGTATCCGATGCCGTTTACCGCTTGTCGCTATCTTGCTTCGTTCTCGAGATCTCAGGGGGGGGGGGCGGTCATCCGCCCCCCCGTCGGTGCGAAGTTGGCGCAGACCCCCGTCGGTGCGCGGGTTAAGAGCGCCATTATATAAACTAGAGACACATAATTGATAACAAAAAGCTTCATACCTGGCCTTGTCCCTGTTCTTCATGATGATTGCCGATGACGCCATGTCGAGGCTCAGCCGACGGTTGTCCACCTGACGATTATCGATGCCATGGTGAATGACCATTTGTTATGGAAGTGATGGAAACTAGACATCATCAACGAATGTATTCTGTTATCCAGGATGTTTCATATCTGACTTTGTGGCAATAGGTTTTTCACTACTCTTACATAGGTATATGTAGTTCTAACCATTCCATTGATTTTTCAAGAAGTCAATACCTCAAAATTAGAGATGTATAGGTATGTTTATCTTCCAAAGATGTTTCACTACCCCCTTGTCCTATTCGACCGTGAAGCTCCCTTCTTTACCAACAAGCATTAACTAAAAAAAAAGTGGAAAACAAATGGGTTTTGACACTCACCATTGCTAAATGAACTTGGCCAAACCTTTCTGAGATCTTCTCACATATTCTGTTGGCTACAAAGTTGGGGCTGAAAAGAGATGTGCAAACAATGATGGCTCAAAAAGTACCACTGTCATGAGAGTGCAGATGCTCACTAATATTTCCTAAAAATACACTCAGTTATTGTCATTTGTCATAGCATTACCATCATTTCATGATAGGCTAAGCAGATAAAAATAGGTACCAAAATGCACACAAGGTATGAACAGTGTACCGTAAAATGGGGTGTTAAGGGACAGTGGGGTGTTAAGGGACAGTTGCATGGGAAAAACTTTGAGTCATATTAACTTCCTAATTTGAGAAGGTTCAATAAAAACTTCAGTGTGGTAGTTGACACTGTTTTGCTCTTGACCATAGGAGAAAATGGTATGGTTTTTCATGCGAGTGATTTGGTTCAAAAATGGATTTGAATATCATGCTACATTTTCACAAAATTGAAACATCTCCAAAACTCTGTGTGTACCACATAAACTAGTGGGTGTACAGGGAAAATGAATGCATAGGTATATTATCACATGTATTGCACATGTTTCCTGAAAAGCTTGTGCAAATCCACCCATTCATTCATCATCCTCTTCCTCTTTTCCGGATACATGCATATTTTGAGGTGGATGTGGGGTGCTAAGGAACAGGGAAGAAAAAATAAAAAATAATATCTAAATATAATTTAATTAAGTAGGCATGGAAAACACCAAATTCCACATAAAATGCTGGCAAGTTCATGCTTTTATCTCTAACACATCTTAAGTTATGTAACAAAACATCTCAACACTCTCTTTTACAATGATGGGTCAATGGAGACTGATGTAAGTAAATGTGATGTCATCATAAAATGGCTAAAACAAAGAGGGCAACATAATGAAAAGTGATAAGCTTCAACATGGGTTTTTATTGATGACAGAAGATTACTTTTTGGTTCTGTTTACCTTATAATTAGCACATTTTCCACAAGCGTAAACTGCATTACACGTAATTGGCTAAAAAGGTCATTAGTGGTGAATGAACCTGACTTGTTTTGTGACAGAATATGCAAAACATTTCAATAAATAAATTGTGTGCCCTTCCACACCCCAATTGTGGGCATTTGATGACCATTTCTTGGAATAATATAGGTGTCCCTTAACACCCCACATTGGGGTGCTAAGGGACAGTGATGAAAAATAATAAAAAATTATATGCAGGTATAAATCTTAAAAACTTTAATGTGGCAGGCATGTAAAGCACCAAATTCCACATAAAATGCTGACAATTTGGTGCTTCCATCTCCAACCCTTCTTGAGTTATATAACAAAACACCTCAAAACTGTCCCTTAACACCCCATTTTACGGTACCTAATATGTATACTGTAAGTAACAAATTGCAAAACAAGCAATTAAGAACTTATCAAAGCAGCTATAGCACAGACAAAATAAATGACTAACTTGGTGTTCTTGTAGTGCTCATTGGCCTGATAATATCCAGTTATCTTCAAGCCATTTGAACTGCAGTAGCTCTCAATCTGAAAAAAACACATTAGTTCAAATAAACATTCAGCAACACAGTTTATATCCTCATCCTACTGTTGACTGACTGAGAAGAAGAAGAGTTCTGAGTGAACAACATAAGTAGGTACCTCATCAATGGGTAACTGGGATTGTCTTTTCACTCGTATAGGGATGAATGACAAGGGATTATGGAGGCGTGGGATTACATCGTTTTCTAAAAAACCTTCTGAGTATATGATTGAGTAGGAATAGACAAATAGCAATTGACACTCTAAAACATGGGAAAATCTTCAATATCAAAGTTTGATAATCATTTTACCCCTTCAAAGCAGATATTTCACAGCACATTAATACTTTGACTTTGACAAACTTCGGAACATTGCAACATACCTGTTCCAGTGCTACTTCAGTCATTGGTGTCAAGCCCAATGCCATGTGAAACAGTGGTATGGCATCAACGAAGACAACATCATTTGAACCTTCCAGATCTTTTACTTTTGACACCAAAATCCCATTGACAGCTTCATGAGGATATTTTGCTGCATGAAGGATGACTTTGCAATATGCCCTTGTGGAAAATTCTACTTCTGACATTGTAACGCTAGATGAAGACTTCAACGACTATGGCTTCTCAGCTTATTGTGGCAAAAAAAAAAATGCAATGAAAAAACGCAGGTATCATCCCCAAAGCGACCACCACAATCAATTTATCCGAGTCCGGTCCTGCCGGATTGTAACATTCATCAAAACTTCACCGCGCTGCTTAAACCTGCAGTTGCTAGGCAACCTGCTGACAGCACATACATTTTTTCTCAAGACAGCCGGCGATTGGTGCTTGCGTTCGCTTACATAGACTGGATGAATTTATAGAACAGGTTTTATTTGAAACAAATGCGCAGTGTTTGAATACATTTAAATAGCTGCCAGCTTTCCCTGAATGCAACCCTCCCACTGAATGACAGGAAAAGACACATTGGACAAAGCACAGAATGTGATCTATGTGGAAGTGAGCTAGAAAATACGGAACATTTTTGCTAGAATGCACAGATGAAGAGATAACCGAAGAGAGGAGAAAAGCAACTTTACTACAAAGACCTATGCAGGAAAACCAAGCAATGATTATTGGGAAGTTTTTGTTCGAACCTGAAGAGATAGAAGTTAAAAAAGATATTCTGTACAATATGTGGAAAGCAAGAAAGCGGAGAATAAGCTTGAAGCAAGCCAATGCAAATGCAGGCGTATAAATCTGAAGAAGAATGGACCGCTCATTGTAATTTTTGTTTTGTCCAACCCCCGCTAGTAGCAAATTCCAGGCACGCACGCTCATTTTGTTTACGCTTAGTGCTTAGTCAACCTGCTTAGTCGTAGCATCCATATTTATGGCTAAAGTGACAGTGAAGAAACAAGGGGTGCCGTTACAAAGGCTATACCCCGATCTACATCTACATCTACTTTCCCTAGCATTTCCCTAGAAGCCTAAATTACTTCGCAAGCTCCAAATGTAGATCGGAGACGAGAAGCGTATTTGGGAGAACAAAGAAAGAAGAGCCAGGGCGCTTATTTTCCGGAATGTTAGATACTCAAGCTGAGACCGCGATACTGACCTGCTGATCTTGCCAATCTCCTGTCTTGCGATGATAGTTCTCCGATAGAAAGATTGAACTAGAAAGCATCCAAGTGAGAATGACGCTAGAATGACTCGATCAACTGCAAACTCGCCTCTAAGAATGTCCATGCCGTTACAGTACATCATCAAGCATCAAAGTGATAGAAGACCAGAATGCCTGGGAAACGTGAGTAGCGAAAAGCGACTTCACATCGCTAAAAGGCTGGACTCTGAATGAAAGCAACGGAAAAGAGGCACCACCGAGATTCGAACTCGGGATCTCCTGTTTACTAGACAGGCGCTTTAACCAACTAAGCCATGGCGCCGCCGGACTAACTGTCGACATTGTAAAATCTTATCGATGTGGTGTCTCCACGAGCTTCGACCGGCCGACGCCTGAATGGAAACCCTAACATCACACAGACAAACACGGTTTCGGGTTTCCAATCCAACATATGTATTATATCCGCAGAGAACGACAGCATCGAGCGAATGCATGTTATGCCTTAAGGACGACGATGTAAAGGTGGCCTCCATCACGGACTGGCGGCCGGGATCGGGCGCTCCACTGACTCCTAGTTGTACGTCATGTACTTGGGAGTGGAGCTGAACTTGGCGTACGACTTGATGACCTTGTTGACGGCGTCCAGGAAATCCTTTTCGCTGGCGACCTTGCGCCTGGCTCGGATGGCAAACATGCCGGCCTCTGTGCACACGGACCGGATCTCGGCACCTGAGAGCGGGTCAGGTCAGGTTAGGTCATAAACAAGGTATAAGCGGCTGTGAGTACATCAGGTCAGGTCAGCATATGGTCAGGTCAGAGACTGCTGCAGTCAAGGTCAGTGACGCCATTGTCGCAGACAGGTCTCAGAAGTCCGAACCTTTTGGGCAGAATAACGGTTCAGGTCACGGCCAGACCAGTTCAGGCATCTGCCACAGAGTTAGCCACCACCTGCTAGATGAGGGCCGTATGCCAATACAATAGGCATCAGACATTAGTTGCTACATAACGCCCATTCCTTTGGCACCACCACCACCCACTGTCACTGTACGGTAGTTCTCGCCCCGTCCCATCCCGCCGATACCGCCGTCCGCCCCCTGTCACCCACCTGTGCTGTTGGGGCACAGCCGCGCCAGCAGCTCGTACCGGATGTCCTTCTCCACCGACATGGAGCGTGCGTGGATCTTGAAGATGTGCGTGCGCCCCTCGAGGTCGGGCAGGCCGAACTCGACCTTCCTGTCGAGCCGGCCGGGACGCATCAGCGCCGGGTCGAGCGTGTCCGGTCGGTTGGTGGCCATCAGCACCTGGAGGTCACCAGGGGTCACGGTGAGACGAAGGTCACCAGGGGTCACGGTGTGACGAAGGTCACCAGGGGTCACGGTGTGACGAAGGTCACCAGGGGTCACGGTGTGACGGTCACGAAGGTCACCAGGGGTCAGGGTGTGGTAGTGTTTTGTAACGGCAGTACGGCACAGGAGAGTAGAGCGCAGAGCGGGGCGGGGCTTGGTAGAGTTGCTTGCTTGGCGGGGCCTTTAGAGTTGCGTGGTTTAAGGCCAGGTTAGGCTTGCTTCTTTGTTTATTGGGGCTTAAGGGCGCATCGACTAAAAATGTTATTTTTCGCCCAGCCCGGATAGGCTCTGACGACAAGAATCCAACACGTACACAATAATCCAGCACCCATCCCGGCCGTCCCGCGCCCTCACCTTGATATTTCCGCGCGGGTCGAACCCATCCAGCTGGTTGATGAGCTCCAGCATTGTCCTCTGGACCTCATTGTCACCTCCAGCGCCGTCGTCGAAGCGCGCGCCGCCGATTGCGTCGATCTCGTCGAAGAAGATGAGACACGCTTTCTTGGTGCGCGCCATTTCGAATAGCTCGCGTACCATTCGCGCGCCCTGGAGTGAGCGATAATGTGGGTAAGTTGTGGGAAAAGGAGCGGCATATTACAGTAGCGCGACTGAGCGATTATAATCTTAGATGACGATCAATCTTAATTGGTGAGCGATTGCTATTTATAGATCTTTCTTGCATATTTTAAAGAAGATTATTTCACATTTAGTGCAATACCTGACCTAATAATCGGAGTAGACGGAAAAGCAACGTTAAATAAGGTCATGGCAATGGGGATTCAAAAAACTGGAAAGCGTTAACTTCAGGCTTTAACCCTATTCCTGGCGGGCTCCGCCGGGACAAAAAACTGGCGGGGGGGGGGGGGCCGATTCGGCCCCCCCCTGAGATCTCGAGAACGAAGCAAGATAGCGACAAGCGGTAAACGGCATCGGATACGCACGGCCAAGATCTACAATTTTTACTAAGGTCATTTTCAGGTCAGGTCAAAGATGACGTCACAGGGGTCGAAAAAGTCAAAATGGCGGCGCTAGATATGGAGAAAGTTTTTCTCGAATAACTTTCGAATTAGTCAAGATAGGAACAAACTAAGGGCATCATCGTGATCCTCTCGTCAATCCGCATCGAATGATATATATGTTGACCTCGAAAGGTCAAGGTCAAAGGTTGACCTCAGGTCACGTGACCTCGAGGTCATCATGTATATCATTCGATGCGTCTTGACGAGCTGAACACAATGAGACCATCCACGCGTCTGTATCTTGTTCCTGTACGGAGTTATTGGCCAAAAACCTTTGGTGACCTTTGATGACGTCACATGACCTCACAGCTGCCCAACAGCAAAACAGACCTCAAGGTAGTGAAGGTTGATCGTATATGAAGTCATGTATGGTATATGGGGCCATTCCGACCCGTTTTAGTGGTAAAAACAGGGAGTTGATTTTTCCCCCATTGACTTATAATGGGGAGGTCGCGAAATTGACCTGACCTTAGGTCACCGATATCAAAATTCCGAGATATACAAATTGCACATACTGGTACCCTAACTAAACCCTGAAGAGAAGAAATTGATCGGTCAAAAACTCTAGCTCTGGCGTGATTGCAAACTTTTCTGAGGTAGGGTCACCAAACCGCCTCTGGTGACCTGACCTGAGGTCAGATCAACTCAAAATTTTCAGACATGTTGCGTAGAAGCCTTTTAGGAAAAGTCAGAAAATTTGAGCTTCCTAGCTCAACGCGTTTGGGAGAAATAACCAAAAAACCTCAGGGGGGGGGCTCCTGAGGCCCCCCCCCCGCCAGGAATAGGGTTAAGACTGGATGCCCGCAAGAGCGACACCAACATGAATCAAAAAACTCCGTAGGTAATCCGATTCCCATTCTCAGTACGCTAATGTGACGCCCCACAATACAACTTAAAACCGTCTTCAAATGATCCAGTCTCACTACCACTAATCCACCCCCTCCCCTTAGCATCCCCCTCTAGGCGATCTTCCACCCACCTCTCCGACGTATTTCTGGACGAGCTCCGATCCGATAACTCGGATGAAGCAGGCGTCGGTGCGGTTGGCCACGGCACGCGCGCACAGCGTCTTACCCGTGCCGGGAGGGCCGAACAGCAGCACGCCCTTGGGAGGCTCGATGCCGAGATTCACGAAACGCTCCGGCTGTGGGCAGAGGGTGGGGGTCAGGACGGCGTACGTAGACGGGAAGTGTTTGAGATTCGGAGATGGTTACCGAAACAGGTTGCATAGGTAATCGAAGGAGGATAGAGGGCACTAACGAAGCAACGGAAAATTTAACTTATTCCTAAAAAAAAACTCACGCAAAGTTGGAAAACGTCTGAGGCAACACGAACTGTGCCCCAACTTTGCCTTCACCAATATTCCCCAATCATCGAGGGCTGAATAGTCAGCTCACGCACTACATCAGGGGTCCTAGCGATTAGCATATCAGCATTAAAGGGACTGTCCCACCTTAACATTAGAATTGAGTTGAGATAGCCATCTTGATGGGCGTTCTTTGAAAATCAGAGTCGTGAAAACCGTTTCTCCAGCAATTACTTCATCGCAAATAAATTCGTGTTTGATTTTGACATCTGTGCAAATAAGTGCCACAATGTATTGGTATTGGCACTTAAAACCTGTGACGTTTCCGCCTTTTCCGAAGTTTCTGTATCTGTCGACTTGTTTTTTATTGAAACCTTGAAAAATAACAACGCCTCTTGGAACAGCGCCCGGCGCCACGAGGTGGAGAATTAAATTGATATGCCAAACTAATTCTAATAGTCTTATAATTCTAGCAGTATTTTTATTTTTGTATTTAAATATTTAAGAGGCCGTCCTACTTGTGACTGAAGAATGCAAGAGCCATGAACTTATCAATGGCAGGTGTCAAGTTCAAGTGTGCAACTCACTGAAATTAATCATAGTATCAAAGTCATAAATGATTTGCTCATTGCTGTTTCAACTCCATAATCAAGACATGCTCTGAGGAGTCCACAATCTATTGATCGATGGTGACAAATAAGGAAGAGACAATGAATGTTCACCTTTTTATTTCTGAACATCCAAGACGACTAACCTTGAGCCGTTAAGCATTGATAATACCCTGTTTGCTGAAGTGTGGGTGGCCTGAGGTCGACCATGTCTAGTAAAGAACTGTTGTTTGTGTAAACACCATGCAGAGGTATTTTGAAATAAATTTTAGTGATGTAATGCATCATTCTTTGAACTGAGTTGCTGATTGCGGATGAAAGCGGAAGTGCTGCACGTGGAATCAGAAATGCTCTGTTGCGCTTTTAAGCTTATGTTAGATTTTATAGATGGCTTAGTTTTCCTGCAGATTTCATCTTAAAGCTGTCAATAGTGTTTTACCTTTGTTTCCTGGGAGCAGATCCAGCTACTAACATGAGCATGGGACCAGGACTGGGCCTTTGTACCACAGTCGCTGCGCTACTTGTCAAAACCTAGGTAATGTGCTTTGTTAGGCCATGCTGTGCATTTTTTAAACCTTTAGAGTACTTTGTGATCATTGACACACATATTGAACCTGACAAACAGCAGCAAAATCACACCCCATCCTTACCTCTGTGCAGTGTCACCCAACAGACAACAGGGCTTCAAAACAGGCAGGTTCCGCATTCAAGTCGCTTCTTGCAACTATGTGACTAATGTTAGGACAATAGACGTGCTGCACAGGGAAGGTGTGTTCTTTGTAGCTCTTGAAAAATGAAGTCATGCCTACAATTCAGTTTAGAATATTACAATTACAAATAACTTGGATAAAAGTTGCAAAACATGAACTCTGACTGGTCAGTTGAAATATCTTGAGTCAGTGAACCATGCCTGGGCTGGAGGTGGTCAGTTCCCTGACTTGCGCAACCTCGGGCACCTCGGGCAGGAGCTGTGGGACTTGTACATGGACAAATTGAATAGACGCTAGCCTAGATTATGTCGTGGCTGCAGTCCAAGACGTGTTCACCAGTTGCCGTTGCTGCCGCTGCCTGCTGCTGCCCTGCGTGCCGGCTGGCAGCTCACTGCTGGACTGTTTGCGCGCCAGGCATCCTACTGGACGAGTGGGGTAGGTCGCAGATCTTTGAGAGTGAAATGTTTGGTCTAAATATAGCTTGAAACTCTTACAAATAATTTAATTAAAAGGCAAAATTTCAGAGGACTAAATTGGTGTCTCAGTGGTGACAATCAGAACTTGATCAGAACTGTTATCATGCTGAATGCTGAAACTGAGGATAGGGCTGAGCTGGTAGGCTAGAATTTAATATGCAGGCTTACAAGGTCCCCAGTTAATCACAAATTTGCCAGACTTGCCTGTAGATAAAATCATGCAGATGAAATGTTTCTGGCAGATAGCCATGAGGCAAAATGCTATTCAAGCTTGTTCCGCAGCTCGTTGCGTTCCACATGAGCCACTACATCAGAGTCACACAACTCTGCCAAATGTGCTGAAAGGCCACAATTTTTCCAATAAGTAGGTATATTTATTATTTTTCACAGACACAACAAAAATACAAATGCAGGTCACTACAATTCATTCTGCTTCAATTACAATTGCTGGAATGTGTTTTGCAGACTTATTATATTGAATCTTGAACAGACTGTATTATATTACTTTGCTCATGGGCCCAGGCCAGTACTGCAGAGTATGGCTCGCAGGTCGCCAAGGAGCACTGGCCTAAGTTCAAAATTTACACAAACCCTGCAAACTGAGCCAGAAAATTCACACCAAAGGGGGCTGAGAGAACACTTCGCACCCCGCTACACTAAATCTGCACCACACCAAACCAAATCCACACCGCACCACACTTAAATCCGCACCAGATGAAGGAGTCTGCACTGACAACATCTGGACAAAATTGCCATACTTTGCAGTCTGGCTCATTGCTATATCCATTGTGATTCTTAGGTCTGATTATTGAAGTTGAGCTCACTTTCATCATCCATGTGCCCAAGACATTGTGGGCAGCATCAATAATCAAACATCAATATCTTGCTTTTGCTTCTTAGGGAGCATTCTATAATCTTTTAAAAATGATAAATAAAGCCTTGTTGATATTCTTTGCAGTTTGCGACCTTCTTCTTGACAAAGTTCAAGCTTCAATTTTCCAATTTTCATTTCAATCCTTTCCATGAACATTGAGCATGTTTGTGTTACTTTGCATGTTACTAAAATACCAATTTCCTGAGTTTTGATTTCATGCGCAATGTTTGTACTATTCGCGGCAGAAGCGTAACAAAACTTTGTGCCACCGATTTGGCAGCTAGGAAAAAAACTTTGCCCGATAAAAAACAATCATATGACGTAATCGATCCAAAAGCTTTAAATTGGAATTTTTAAACAATTAGCCAACTATGGGCCGAATGTTTGCCAATTTCGTGTACAGGGGCCCCTAATCTATGTCTTGCAACACAAGAACAGTATATCAAAGCAATTTTTTGAAGGTGGGACAGTCCCTTTAACAAAGACTCAGTAGTTCATTATAAACTCATATACCTAATGAAACTAAGTTAAAACGCCCCCAACTCACGTGCAGCAGCGGCGTCTCGACGACCTCCCTCAGTTTGTCGATCTGCTCCTTGCATCCTCCGACGTCACTATAGGTGACGTCCGGCTTCTCCTCGACCTGCATCATGGTGACGGTGGGGTCGATCTTGGGCGGCAGCGGGATGTGGATCTGATACTTGTTACGGTCCACTCTGCGGAGGGGAGAAAGAATGGTTGGTTAATTGGTGTGAGGGTGATTAAACAGCAGCGAATAATGGTATCAGCTTGTGTCACAAGACGTTGTGACTCTCAACATACCAGTGATCCCACCTACACCTGGCAAGTTAGCCAAACTCTCATCCATCCATTCTATCCACTTTGTCTGTCTACCTCTCTGGCAAATAGACAACAGTCCACCTCTCTACCCACCACGTTCGCCTCTACCCCACCCTCTGCTCAACTCACCTTTGATCTGCATACCCCTCCTTTCCACCAGCCTGCTTATCTATTGACTTAACCATCCCCTTCTATCCACTCATCCCCCTCTCCATCCATCTATCCCCTTTCTATAAGCCCGGCCTTACCCGACGCGCATGCCCTCCTCAATATCTGTGGGCGCCACAGAGTCGGCCAGGTCGACCACAAACTTGGCGAACTGCTTCACATTGATAATGTAGCGCGGCTCGTCACTGTCAGCGTTGATGATTTTTGTACACCGCGCCACCTGTCGGTAATGATGGGAGATATTATGAAGAGGGGTAATTGCGCACAGAGACACACTTGCACCACACTGACACAGCAGACAGACATAGCACACATGTGCGACACAAAGATACAACATAGCACACAGACAGACACAGAACACATCACGAGTAGAACACACAACATACACTGACACTCTTCGCGCCTCCCTCTCGCGTTGTCTCTGCTCTCCCCCGCCCAGTTTCTTCATCCCACCCGTTATCCCCGCTCCTCTCAGCACCGTCATCCCTCTCAGTCCCGCACTCCGCCCCCCTCGGCCCTGTCTCCCCGCTCCTCCACGTTCCCCTCACCCCTCCCCGCCGCTGACCTGGAGCGGCTGCTCGCTCTGGAGGGTCTGTTTGTCGGCGGCCAGGTCCCACAGCGCCGGCGACGCCAGGCCCGTGTCCGACTCCTTGATGCCGGTCAGCTCGTTGACCCGTTTGCTGACCGCTGTGATGTCCTCCTCGATCTGTTTGATGGACTTGCTGTACTGGCCCTGGCCCTGTTGGGATAATGATGGTGATGTGACAAAGATTAAACAGCATCAACTGCAATAAAAGCCAGATAATGACCAATTTCGATTTGTATCAACACAATTTGTGGATGAAGCTCAACATCGTGGATCGTTAAAACAACGTTGACAATCGCGATTGTAACATGTGGCAATAGTTTCATCTCAAATATTATGACTGGATGAAAACAGATCAGCATGTTATCAATAAAACTGTATGATCACATGGCCATATTTCAGATATAAGCTACCCATACTATAGTTTGATATACCTAGGTATTAGGCATAGGATGGGCACACTTGTACATATGAATGATAAAAACATGGAGCCTATTAAATCTTTTGTGCAGCACACGAAGTACCCATGCCTATGGAAAACAACTTACATATGTTTTGAGAAGAGCAATATCACCTTCATCCAGGGCTGAAAGCAGAGCATCTTACTGGTTAGGGACACAAACAGCATGGTGAAAAGCAAAACAATAGGATCACAATGCCATTAACGATTCTCATTCAAGTTAGGCAGATAAACAAGGAAAATGCATTTTCACTGGTCAAATTGTGATAAACTTGTAGCAAATGATATTGATGATCAGAAATATTGAGAAGTGATTGAGATTATGGTCTGTTTTAGTGGTATGAATGATAAAGAACACATTTAATACACATTTTCTATTTCATTTGAAACAGGGAAGTGCATTAATCATAAAAATATGTCACCAAAAATGTGACTTTGAATATGTAACTGGACATTACACTTACTTTTGAACTCCTTTTCTTCTTCCTCAGGCTCATGCTTCACCTTCCGCATATCCCCTCCCAGATGATCAGGCATGTTGACCAGATTTTTGGAGGCCAAGTTAAATCAAATCTAGAAAAGAAAATGGCAGGTTTGAGGTTATCTGTCCAGGATCAGTTCTCTCATGTCAATATTTATATTTTTGTATCTCTTTGAAGTTCTTCTGTATTTTTTTCTGAAACATTCTCTACACATTTAATGGTTCACTCCATAAAGCACAACTTAATTGCACTGGTAGGGCAACAGACTCCTCAAAATCGATGCCAGGTTTAAGTCACATTTGCTCTATTCAATCCAAGAGATCCTTGAGGGCAGAGGGGATTATCTCAGGTCTTGACCTGGCTCTGTATTCTGTAATCTGCTGCTGGTAGGGGCAGCCATGAGCCACTGTCAATTGATGTCAAAACATAGGATCAGGGATGGAATGTCACAATCTTGGGATGTAGAAATGTTACAGTTTAGCTCTTGAATTGATTATCCCAATTTGCGTTTGCCAGTTTGTTTCTGAAGGCTGATATCATCAAAACAGCATCATAAAATCAACATAAACAAATAGTGTGATCTACCATGTTTTGTGCCACCCGCACAATTTATCGACCCCCACCAAACACGATTTGGCAGCACTGTAAAGACGTCTGCTGGGCGTGAAGTTTTCCCTTCACCATAGGGTTTACACACAAACTGGTCAAAGTTTGAGCCAGGATATACTAGTCTAAAAATGCAAAAAACGAACAAATTTTGGCATCAATAGATTCAGCATTTCATCGTGTGCCTCAAACCGTCCATCATTTGGCCTCAAAGGAGGTAAAAATTGTTCAAAATCGAAGTTGAAAAGATGCTTACTGAGCACATAATCTGGTAGCAATCACGTGACCTGCTATAAGCTATTAATTATTCATTTTGAGCTTTCAGTACTTTAAATAAGGTCAAAACATCGCAAAACACAAAAGTTAATACAATAGTCACGTGGGTGTCAGGAAATGTCACAGGTGCGTCAAATTTGTGACTGGGGCTTTACTTTCAAACATCGGATCTACCTGTTTCTTATAGGTATCTTGCAATTTATGTTGAAGTTTCCCTGCAGTCGCCCCTGAGCAACCGCAGGAGCTGCAGGAAGAGCTATGCATTATGCAATAGTCAATACCCGAGGCCCGAATGCTGGTCTCGCCCGATTAGCAGCCAGCTAAGCTCTGCCTTTTGAGAGCAGGAGCCGCAGTCACTTGAACAGGGCCCAGGGGACCAGGACAGCAAGGGATGTGTATATGTGGACAGTCACATTTTCATGTTTTTTTTAGAAATTTTGTCCGAATGGGTAAATGGGTGGCTATGGGCCCGGGTGCCCCGCTAAGCAGTGCTTGTTGCGAATGACACCACGGACCCACCACCCTGCCTTGCCCGCGCCTGGTTCACCAGTGACAATTTGGATCGAAAGTTTAACGTGCCGCAGGTAGATGGCGGCACGGTCCTCCCGGGTCTAGTGTGGCCCTGTCTCGCCAGTTGCCAGCTGGCTTAATATAGGAACGCGGGTCAAACGGCGTGGAGCTTCCCGGCCGCAAACTCGCTGCCACCGAGTTAGGAGACGGATGCCTTATCCACTAGGCCACGGGGAGGACAAATTGTTTGTGTTTCTGTGTTTAAGGACAATGTTTACGAGCCTTACTGAGTTTACACAGGTCTCAGACTGTCGATCAAGACAGTGAACGAGGAAGACGGATAGATATTGATGTTGTCTCTTATTTTTCCTGGGAGACATATGTCCTCCCGCTCACAAATGGTAAAAGCACAATTACCGCAGATGACACCCATACCTCTCATCCCACCGGCACGCTCGTCGTTCTCTTCGATTCACTTTAATTTTTGTGCTTGGTCATTTGTAATGTGATTAAGGATAAATAAAAACCTCTTATTTTAATGATATCGATGGAAAAATGACGTCATCATTAAATAAGTCAAGCACGCATATTTGTTGTCTCCCGAAAGTAATTGCGAAGGCATAATAGCTTTTCTAGTTATAGCAACGCACAGAAATTTAATTAATGGTATATCCATTGCTAATATTTTACAAAAATGAATTACAGGCTCTTTTCTTTGATCATTTAAGGCGAAACTTTTGATAAAATTTTGACGTCACATTTCTCTTTAACGAAAAATTAACTGACAACAACATTCACTGATCATGCTGCGCCACTTTTTATTATTATGCCTGTATAAATATATAGGTATCAGAGAAATACACAAAATAAGGAACAAAGTGCCTAGCAATTTCATTTAAGTTTATTCGAATGAAAATAAAGTCCAGAATTTCACCTGCCACCATCTGATCTCATGGCTACATTTTGTGTTTAATAGAGCCATGCTGATGTTTAATTTCAAGTTGCATGAGAATGATATTAAATTTGCTTGAACAAATAACTAAATTGTTTCTTTTTCAAGGAAAACTTGTGGCAAGATGAGGCTCACTATCACTACTGTGTCGGGCGAGCTGTTTCAGCTGGATGTTAGTGAAGACCTGGAAGTTGAAAATCTCAAGGCTTTTGTACAGGTACCTAGGGTACCTAGGTACCTATGTATAGCTCAACTGTGACAGTAAAGTGCTTTTCTGTCTTGGTGAAATATTCTCAATTGTCATCATATCATTTGGCATATTATCAGGAAATATGTAGCTACGCTAATGGATAAATGTGCTGTGGTGCATCATGATCACCCCTGCCTGTGCCAGTCTCTGTCTTACAGGATGTTCTTTCACCAGGTGGAAGCCAATGTTCCGCTGGAGGGGATGCAGCTTGTCCATGCTGGCCGCCGGCTCACAGATGACAAACAGACCCTGAAACAGCTGGGCATAGCTGACAATGACGTACTGCTGGTGAACTCCGCAATGGCAGAGCCTGCTGTTCCTCACAGTGGTGCAGCAGCTCTGGGCAGGCCACAGCAGCCCTCTGTTGCTGAACAGTGTGGGTAGCACCTGGTACAGTGTGGGTAGTATGCAGGGAGCATTTGGACTGGTCAAGCACTGCAGTTAAGACCATTTTCTCCTTTAAAAAATATGATGTGTACTTTGCAATTATTTCAGACATTTAAGTGACCTATGTAATTGTGGTTTGTTTGTTTTTTCCCAGAGGCACTCAAGTAAGGATGCCTACTGTTGATAATAGGTTGTCATATCATCAGGTGGTTCAAATTTCACTATTCTGACAGTTATCGCCCACAAACATGGCTGCTGCCCTTGTATCATGTTACCGTAAGTCCGCGACATCATTACCGTAAGTCCGCGATATCATAACCGTTAGCGTGTGACACCCGCGTTACCTTAGTTCGACGAGTCACGACACCGTTACCGTTAATCTGTGACATCGTTACTCTGTGACACCATTACCGTAAGTCCATGACACCCAGCCCCCCATTCCCCCAGTGGCGCAGATTGACTTCGGGAGTATCTGTTTACCGGGAATGTCTCCGACTGGGGCGGGTCAGCCGGGTCCGAACCGCGAGGATGACCCGGCCTTCATCCGGGACATGTTTCTGGCGAATCCCGACCAGCTGGCTATGCTCAAACAGAACAACCCGCGGCTCTCGGACGCCCTGCTCAGCGGAGATGTCGGTAAGAGGCGGGATGGACCGGCGGGGGCGGGAGAGAGACATGGCTCGTGCAGATACAACTCGTATGCACTCGTCACTTGCTCACATCGCCATTACCAGGACTGTGGAGTCAATTGATTTTTTTGTCATTTTGTGAACTTCGACTCCCGACTCAAGCTTTAAGATCGACTCCGACTCCGACTCGTGCTCAGACTCCGAATTTCTCATTGACAACAAACAACGGTAGTGGGATCGGCCGGTATTTCCATAAAATTTACGATCCTTTCGGTCTATAATACGAGCTGCTGGCACTAGGTGCTCGTATATGCTGACGCTCTGAACCATGTGATAAGAGACGTCTCGCTCTGCCAGCTGCCTTCCCTCTCTCAAACACTCCCCCACCCGTCCCTCCACAGGTCAGTTCGCGGCCGTGCTCCGGGAGCAGCAGGAGGCACACTCGGAGCGCGAGCGGCTCCGACTCCGGATGCTCACCGCCGACCCGTTCGACGTGGAGGCGCAGCGGCTGATGGCTGAGGAGATCCGCCAGAGTAACATTGAGGCCAATATGGAGGCCGCCATGGAACACCATCCGGAGAGTTTCGGGACGGTGGTGATGCTGTACATCAACTGCAGGGTCAACGGGTTTCCCGTGAAGGCCTTCATTGACTCAGGTCAGTCGCGGACAGAGACACGATCGCGTTGATATTCACATTCTGAGGATTGTAAAGTGGGACGGATACCGCCAACTTTGCCATCCGGTATAGCAAATGCAACACGGAACTAACGTAGACTCGGGAGTAACTCTTTGATAATTCTCCCCCACCATCTCATTTTGTCCACTAGTATATCCCAGTCCCTTACAGCCCATTTCGGTACTCCGACGAAACGATGTCGCCGTCGCCACCGACGTGCTCACACCGTACGTCTCTTCTATTACCCGGCTTACCATAACCCTCTCTGCAGGCGCGCAGACCACCCTGATGTCGTCAGCCTGCGCAGAGCGGTGCCACATCATGCGTCTGGTGGACACACGCTGGTCCGGCGTGGCCAAGGGTGTCGGTACGCAGCGCATCCTCGGACGGGTGCATATGGGTCAGATCCAGATCGAGGATGTGTTCCTGACGTCGTCGTTCTCCATCCTGGAGGAGCAGCCCATGGACATGCTGCTGGGACTGGACATGCTGAAGAGACATCAGGTAGGGGTGGTTGATCGTGCGCGATGGGAAAGACTAGTGTGTTACTTGAGCGGACGGGAACGTACCTACCTATGTTTTGTAAGGTAATGAAGAGAAGACTGGGTGCTCACTGCTGAATACGCCCGACATTGTTGCGTGTCCGGCCCGCCAACGCTGTCTCGATGTTGTAGTATAATGTAATGCCGCTCATTTGTCTGTCAGTGATTACTTCATTCGTCAGTTGTTTGTAACACCCAGTCAGACTTCTCAAAGTGACCCTCAGTGACGCCGTCACTCTGACCGGCAGTGTGTGATCGACCTGAGGGGTAACGTGCTGAGGATCGGCACCACCAACACCACCACGCCGTTCCTGCCGGAGTCGGAGCTGCCGCCCTGCGCCCGGCTCTCCAACAGGTAGGTACCAGCGGCGAGCCGCACCGTACGCTGCATTGTCCGGGTCAGGAAGGGTCGGGGCGGGCCTGGTCTGGGTCGGTCTGGGTCTGGATCGGGTCGGGATAGGCCTGGCCTGGCCTGGAATACACTGGTCGGTTTAGTACCAAACCCCAATCACAGGTGACACTACTCTACGAGATCTCTAATTGGAGATGTCGCCCCTGGAGCAGGACTGCCTTTTGTGGCACTGTCTTGTTCGGTACCGCAGCTGATTGAAATTATCGACCTTGTGGCCGATCGGCCCTATTCTTTGAGATCGGACATAATCTGTTGCGACCCGTGGTTTTGTATAATTGCCCGCCGGCAGTAATTTATTTACTGTAGGCGTTTACTGGAGCGCGGGGTAGCGTGGTTAGCGTAGGGGCAGGAATTTGCAATGCCAATCACGCTAAAGTTTGCTACGCCTGCCTACTGTCAGTGGCATAGGTAATGGTACCCCTCGCGTGCAGATCTGGGTAACGAGCCATGGCATGCTATGAACAGGATAACCTAGTTTACGAAACTCGCCTCCGATCAGGTACTTTAGAAGCTGCGTAGGTTAGGTGGCACGGAACTTTAGTCGTTGTACGACACGGGTTCGAGGCAAGGGGACTTGTAATGTTTTCCATGCTTTAATGGGATATTGCAGCCTGTCTTCTGCACGAGTTGAAATTCCCACACGGGGAAATTACGTAAGGTGGCCGTGGCCACACAAGCCCACAAAGCGTTCGCCGTTGTTGATATTACGCAAAACTGCCGACATGTGGAGCTCTCGGCGGGTGTAGGTATTTCCCGGTGTGCATATGTAGATCTCCATATGTAAATGTTTGGAGTCGGCGAATGCCCCAGTTAGCGAATGTCTTGCCGAATGTCCGGCTGCCTCAGTGTACCGGGGTGACCTGAACCGGCTGTGCCGCTGCTGTCCTTTCATCTAACCCTTTGCTCTCTGACGCCTAACCGGGCTGAGTTAGCTTCTGACCGGGCTGCGTCTAACCCATAGGATTCTACCGTCAAGCCCACGTAGTCGGTAGTCTGACGTCTGACGATTACCGTCTTACCCATCATGTGTCTGACATTTGACTGCTATCTATCACGGGTCTGACCCTCAGCTGACATCCAATCCCCGCGTCTGATCCTCTGCCATCAAACTCTGCCTTCTAACCCTCTCCACCATCGGTTCTCTCCAGGTCAGAGGAGGAGGCCAGAGCCGACTCGATGCGGGAGGCAGAGGACGCGGAGCTGGCGCAGGCCATGCGGGAGAGCTCAGCTGCCGCCTCCTCCGCCCCTGCTGCCACTCCTTCCGCCTCTGCTGCCCCCTCAGGAGTGCCGTCTGCCGTCATCCGTCCGGTGACTGGAGGGACTCACGGTGAGAGGGGGAGGAGAGAGAGAGAGAGAGAGAGAGAGAGAGAGAGAGAGAGAGAGAGAGAGAGAGAGAGAGAGAGAGAGAGAGAGAGAGAGAGAGAGAGAGAGAGAGAGAGAGAGAGAGAGAGAGAGAGAGAGAGAGAGAGAGAGAGAGAGAGAGCAAGATAGAGCGAGAGAGACAGAGACAGAGAGGAGGGGAGCGGAGAAGAGAGACGGGGACGTGTAGGGTGGGGAACACTGGGGAATGACATTGAGGCCATTTCAAGCATCCCACGTGATGAGTGACACCCGCGCCTCATCCATCCCCCCTCTCTCTCACCCCCGCCTCTGCCAGTCCCCTCTCTGAGCAGCCCTGGCAACCGGCCGCGGACTTTACCGAAAATGGTTTGTACCCGCGAGTTCCGCTGTCACAGCTGTTCAAAGGCCTGAAACCTGAGTTCTCGACGGCCCGGGATCCGTATGCCTGTCACCTGGTTATATGTATCTCTGATATCTATCTTCAGAGCAAAATGAGCCGAGTCGGAATCACACAAAACCCCCAGTCCGCCCGTTGATCACTCTGTGTGCGATCTCACGTGTCTGTGAGCCGGTAATTGCATTTACAATGTCGGGAACCGACCACCCAGCTATCATTTAGCCTTTCCCGTGCGGGTGGTGTTGTGACGTATGCTCAGGATCATCGCGAATGAGATATAACGGCTACATCAGCAGCACCTTTTTGATGTATTTCATGTTAGTCCTTACAGTGTTCATAAAGGGCACACCAATCTTGTATTGCACCTGATTAACAGCATTCCAAGAATATTCATGGTCCATTAAGTGTAATCGTTTGTATTTCGCTGTAAGCGTGTGGAGTAGGTCATCCTCAGCTAATGGTGAATATTTTTTTATTAGCAGCATTTAACAAAATCGTTGTGTATATGCCTCAGACGCGTTAGTTGGAACCTGTCGCAACCTATCAACCTTTTCCATCCGACTGATTAGTTTTTACAGTGCCTTGCCACAGCCCGGCCGTTGGATAAACCATATTTCATGTTGCTGTGCCGCACTACCAGTCCTCAGTCCAGTTGCCAGTTCAAAGTACAAATGCTATCGCATATGTGCCTTTGTACTGCATGCTTATCCGTTTCTACTTTTGTTCCACGTTCCCCGTACTTTCCCGTATTACTGGAATTCCCTATTAGCGACTGGTGAATGCGCCTTTCAGTGTCCCACGCCCGACGTTGTGTAGCAATTGACTGTTCTTTTTCTACCTCAGGTTCGGCGTCTGCTGCCGCTCCTATTCCGGCTACCGCTCCGGTGGCTCCGACTCCGACTCCGACTCCAGTTCAGACTCAGACTCCGGCTCAGACTGCGTCCCCGGCGGTCGTTCTGTCCATCCAGTCGACAGACTCGTTCACCGAGAAAGATGTGGAGATGATCATCGGCGCCGGATTCTCCCGAGCCGAGGTGAGTGAGTCGTGAGTTAAGTGAGAGAGTCGTGAGTGAGGTGTCAGGTAAGAGAGTTACTAGTGTGGTGAGAGAGTCGTGCGTGAGGTGAGTGAGCCGTGAGCTGTGCTGAACTTGTCGTTTTTGGTCCTGATCCCTTAAATAAAATCTATCCGGTGAACCGGCCATCTTATAAAAGTGCCAACCACAGCGCCAATGTTTGGCTTACTAAATGTGACAACTGATAAATCGTCTTACTCTGGATGTTATTACTACACATTTTTTATGTAAAATTAGCAGACGGGTCGGAAAATTTAGAATATTTCGGGTGCTGGAGGGTAAGTTTGCAAAGGAGAACGAAATCTTTTTAACCCGATTGGGACCAGAAAAGGGTCTTATTTCCAACGTTGAGACTCGTGAGTTAGATGAGAGTGCTGTGAGGGCCGCTGGTGGGGCATGTGAATAAGTAAACAATGTGAACAGAATAATGAACTATAATACGAAAATACTCAAAGCCACCACTCGACGCTCGGCTCTACTGTCAAAGCCTACTGCCACTTTCTTAACTGTAACCCTGTTTTATATTGACACACCTAATCAGCCCTTTCAGAATTGGGATACCTGGGCGTCCTCTCTAGTTTAATGAGTTCGCGCTGGTCAATATCCGGCAGCGGTGTTCTGTTCCCTGTTTCTACGGTCGGGTCACTGCCATGGCGTCTCCGTGTGGTGGCAATTAGCAACACCTGCTGCTATGCAGCTCGGCTCACACTGAGGGAAAGGCTAAGGGAAAAACTACCACTCAGAGTGTATGGATACCCTGGGCTTTTTGTTGGTAGTTCTTGGCGACAAGAGAGCGTCGTCTTACCATGTAGTGCGGAGTAACAAGTCTGTTTGTATGCTTCCAGCAAACCAGTAACAGCCAGCGCAGGCTCTTATTGTCTATCTTACTCTGTCACCTCGAATTTCACGTGCCCACGCGGTGACAAGAAATACGCTCTGCGTCGCTCGGCAAAAAGAAATAGCCTCTTGTGTTCTGTTGTCTCCCTCTCTCTGTGCGACGCCGAGTCAATTGGCGTCGAGCCGTGGAAGTGACTGATGCCGGTGTACGTTACCTAGCTCCATAATGCAGAATATGAGCACGCACTTTTCACGCTCACCGAGTAGATGTAAGGCTATGCGATGCGGCATTATCCTGCGTGAGACCGAGAACGGTGATACTGTGGCGAACGTGGTGTGTGTGTCTGTTATTTCTTATCGTATTTCTTGTGGTTCAGGTGGCGATTTCGGATAATGTTGATTAGGAATTTTGTAGCATCGTGCTTTGTTTAAGAATATTAGCGTAAATGTGACTTGAGGTGTACATAGCACAATATGCTACTCACTTCATGATCGTCGGCTGCATGTTTTGTGTTGCACTAACTCGAGTACCTACAATTTTGCCCATTGTTTGCATTAGTTCAATGATAAGGGGTGTATCGTTTGTCTGCGTCAACAATTCGTTGTTGCGACTTCAATTGTTGGTCCGAGGCCTCACTGTATTACCACACCACCCTAGTTTTACTCCTCTAACATCCTCTCATTACCCGTCTCAGCCTGTCTGGTGGTTTCGTCGTCTGACTGTCCCGTATGTCGCCAGGCGTTCGCGGAGCTGCGGCGCTGCGGTGGCGATGCCACCAGGGCTGTGGCCGCGCTCTTCGTCCGGTCTTTCAAGCTGCCCAAGTAGCTGCCCAAGAAGTTGCCAGAGCTGCTGCCGGGGTAGCCGCTCAAGAAGCTGCCCAAGGAAGCTACGCTAGCTGCTACGCAAGAAGCTGTCCATTGTCCAAATTGCTGCCCGGGTAAGCTTCCCATACGCCAGCTGCTGCGTAGTGAGCTTTTCAAGATGTTGTTTGAAGACGGTCGGCGTCCCTCGCTCCTCGGTCAGCTGTTCTGCTGGATTCGTCCGCTCTCCCCGTGATTCTGCGCCCCCTAGTCGGGCTCGGCACCCCGTCTGGGGCCGCCTAGCCTCCTAGTCGTCAACTGGACACCAATACCGGTAGTGTTGGAAGGAGTCGGTAGACGCCGGTTTGGACCGGTCGTGGTGTGAATGTGATGAGATTATCGGCAGACAGATCCATACTCACCCCCTGTGCAGAGATACACACAGTCACCAGAGGTGCCTGTGTGTGATTGTGCCGCGTGCCTGATGGACGGCTTTGAGATGCGGGTGCCTTTTAGTCTGATAACATCAGGGACGACAGTATAGCTCCACCACGCAATTAAGCTCCATACCCAGGGAGAAGTGAGATCGCGCGTGCTGCTCGCATGAAAAGTCTGGGAAATTTGCCATGCTACGCATAATGATACAAAGGGAATGGGTCTTAATTGGTCTTATTTGTGATGAACCCTACCCATTGAACGCAGGCGATGTCAGGCGAATCTGTTCTATAAGTACACAGTGTATGCGTGCTGCGGGAAATATGACGCATATGAGCGTGCGTCGCATTTCTGCGTCGAGTTTGTTTATTTATCATTGGATGCCTCTTTCCATCAGCACTGTGCTCCGTTACCTGTACGGCTGAAAGTGGTCTTTGTGCCTGGCTGTTCCGTGTTCGCCGGTGCGGGAGATGCGCATACGACCGTGGGCGGTGCCCCGTGGGTGATCTAAGTGCCTTGTTAGCTCCGGTCGACCGGCCCCGGGAGGGTGGTCGGGGAGTCGCCGCCCCCTGCGGGGCGCAGAGAAACCCGCCGCGACACCGCACAATGCCGGCGGCGGCATCCGGCGCGCTGAAAAACCTCATCACGGCGGCGGAGTGCGACTGAGAGCACCGAGAAGCCTGTCACTTTGAAGGCGGACTCACTGGTACGACGCGCGACGATTGCGTGGGGCGTCCGAGCATGTTTGCGAGTGATGCAGCAACATTGATCGCGTTTCTCCGTGTTTGTCAGTGTTGAATGTGTTTGCTAGTGCTGGATGGATTTGCCAAAGTTGGGCTGTGAAAACCGAGCGTTTCGGGTGAACTCTGATGTAATGTGTGGCGGTGTGGTTAAAACGAATCGCATCACTTGGCTAGCGGTTTGGCTAGCCTGACACACTGCGGACTTTTCACGTTTGTTTATCTCGTTTTGTGCTGCGGGAGAAGAACATAGTGTGTTTCTATGTCATGTAAGAAACAATAACTGAGTTTAGTCAAGTGGTTGGAATCCCATCCCTCGTCATCTAACTAAGTAAAGCCCCTTACCTAACAGAAATAAACCTTAGACGTGACCTCATTTCATGATGTCAGACCTAATACATTGAAAACTGGTGGCCTGCTTGTTTTGTTTTTAGCTATAACGTGTACCGGAACTTGCTAGCTATTTCACTCGCGGCTCGAAAGCCAAACATGCTTATCGCATTTCCGGTTGCCGGCCTGGCTTCCATTATGGCCGTTCGGGAGGGTGAGTTTTATAACACGCATCGGCGGGTCACGGGAGCGGAGCTGAATACGAGCGGATCCGTGACTGGAGGTCGGACCCCGGTCCACTGCGGGGCATTGCGGCCATAGTTCAGGACACCAGAGAGCGCATATGTACTTCTGATGACGGTGCGCGAGACTGCCCAATGGCTGAAGGGCTGGAGGTGCCGGTTTTTTTTTTTGGCGTAACAGTGCTCATCGGCTGAGGAAAGTGCCCACTGCTCATCCTTCCACATCTTTTCTCCGCGAGAGTCGATGAGAGCGAGACAGGGGTTCTGTGCTCGGGTTAACAATATCAATGGTATTTTTCCCGCACTGAGGGGGGTATTTCTACGAAGTTATAAATGGTCGTTAGTGGGCAGTGGTAAATGCAAACAACTGACTGTAAATTGTCAGTTTGCTAGCACTAGGCCATCTGTTATCTTCTCTCTCTCTCTCTCTCTCTCTCTCTCTCTCTCTCTCTCTCTCTCTCTCTCTCTCTCTCTCTCTCTCTCTCTCTCTCTCTCTCTCTCTCTCTCTCTCTCTCTCTCTCTCTCTCTCTCTCTCTCTCTCTCTCTCTCTCTCTTTCCCTTGCATTATTGCATTACACATGGATAAAAAGGACAAATCAGAAATTCGATATTCCTATCTTCCTCTGACGGGCTGGACGTTCCTTTTTTGTGAAATAGATATTGGCCAGGGGTAGCCGGATACGCTCGCCCTAGGTGTTTCCCAGAGGCATAAAAAGCTGAGACTCTGCAGAACGCTGCGAACTCTGTCGTATTTTTCCGCCAAAGGTGCGATCAGTGATCGGTGATCGCGCGCCTTTTAGGTTGATTGATTGTGCCGCACTGTGGTCGGCATTTCGCCAGTAACTATGCAAGCGCTAAGAGCATATTCAACAGTATGCTGGAGGAGATGCTCTTCCAATCACTGGTTATGCGATCTATTCTGTAAATTGTAATGAAGATCCCACGTCAGCAATCCGCCCACGTACAATAGTTTGATTCCCGGCCAATAGATGGCGCGCGTGTATAGCGCCTGATGCATGCTGTGCCGCACGACACTATAGTTGTTCTCATCGCCGCTAGGTGGCTATAACGATAGTTTTCATGATGATACCGAAGGATGGAGTGATGACCAGTGCTGATCAATGGCATCAGGTACTTCAGGTTGTGGACCATCATTGAAATTGGCAATTACTTTGCTAGAAAAATGTCTCAGCATAGCATCCGGCATCTGCTGTGCAGGGGCGTAGGCAGGGGGGGGGGCCACTGGGCCATGGCCCCCCCCTTGGGCGCCGAAGGCGCCCTTTGCGATTGGAGGGCGCCGAAGGCGCCCTCCAATCGCAAATGCAATTGTGATATAATCGAATCGAAAAACAATCGCGACTGGAGGGCGCCCTCCAATCGCGAATGTGTTTACAGGGAAAATACGGATGGAGGGCGCCCTCGGAGGACGCCCATTCCAAATACGCCCTCCAAATACGGTTGGAGGGCTCCCTCGGGCGCCCTCCAACCACATTTGTAGGCTGTAGCTCTCTAAGCGTAACGGTGGTCGCCTATGTAATCCGCTGTCCTGTAAATAAGCGCCCTCTCACCCGAAGGCGCCCTCCTGTAGGTCGCCACCCTGCTACACATTGCCGCCCTTCTGCTGATCGGCGTCCTCATAATTATTGGCGCTCTCCTACCTATTGAGCCCTCATGTGAAATTTTGAAGGCCGCCTTTCTCCCTTTTGGCACCCTCTTGTTCAGTGCCGCCCTCCTACCTATTGGTTCCCTAGTCCTTCCTGTTGAATGTTAATCGGGGCCCTTCTCCCATTGGCGCCCTCGTGTAGATCGCCGCCCTCCTAACCACTGGCACCCTCCTGTTGATCACCGCCCTCCTATCCACTGGCACCTTCCTGTTGACCAGCGCCCTCCGCACAGACGCCCTCCTGTTCGTGTCATCCTCTTGAGCAAAGGCGCCCTCCTCACCATTGCCACCCCCATTTTAATCGTCACCCTTCCGCTCATTGGCGACTTCCAGTTGATGACCGCCCTCCCACCTATTGGCGACCTCTTGTTGATCGCCACCCTCCTATTGGTGCTCTCCTGTTCCTCGCCACCCTCTTACCTGGTGGCGCCCTCCTGTTGATTGTTGATCGGCGCCCTCCTACCTATTGGTGCCCTCCTGTTGATCGCTGCCCTTCTATCCATTGGCGCCCTCCTGCTGCTCGCCAACTTCCTACCTATCGGTGCCCTACTGTCGAAACTCGGGATGTTGATCGGGGCTCTTCTACCTATTAGTGCCCTCCTGTGGATCGCAGCCCTTCTACCTATTGGCAACATCCGTTGATCGCTGCCCTCCTATCATTTATTTACTCCTTTGGCATGTTTTTCAACTTAGTCGTTCTATTGCACATAGTTGATGTCTTGCCTGTGAAAACTGCCACAAATGAACGTGCATTCAGCACAATGAATGAAGTATCTATACCTACCAAAACTATCTACGCTCTACGATGCATAAAACACGTCTTTGGTCTTAACGGATTGATCCTACTTTACGTGCATCATGGCATCTATATGGATTACGATTAAGTATTGTCAACAGGTTCGGGCGCAACAGCAGGCATCTTAAGTTTCGGTGATTGAAACTGGTTATGTGGGTACACTGTATGCATCTGTGAGAAGGCTATGAAGGCTGGTCTGAGGTAATTTGGATGATGTTTACGCATCTCGCGCTCCGGTATCAATCCGATACAGTGATCTGGTGCGTAGATATGCCACCGCCAATAAACTTTTATACATCGACACCCATGAGCCAAGCTTTCTGTACAGTTTGTGTGGCAGCGGCCCGACCAAACCTTAGGTATTTTTTACACCTTCAAATTTGGTAAAAGAGCGAGAGGAGCTTTGAACAGTGATCGTATAAAAGGCGTGCCTAAAAAGCGGAGGAAAAGGTTGTTTTCAAAAATTTCGCGCGCCTTCGGCGCAGCATTTCAAGAACACTTGACCTTTTGTGACCTGGAGTATAAAGAATACACACGATGCAAAATCAATGCAGCACGACCTATACGAGGTTACGCAAAAAAAAAACTGGTGGCATGGTAAAAAACGCCTCCCAACCCCCCAACCCCCACTGAGCGATTTTTTATCTCGCGACCGTATGGCGCCCTCCTTGGGTGAGGTGGCGCCCTCCAAACCCTTGGCCCCCCCCTTCGCGATTTTCTAAATACGCCGCTGCTGCTGTGCATGACGTCTACCTATAGCATAACATGTTTTTGTCTCATTTTATTATGATATCTGACATTTTGCTACGCATAAAATACAATCATGCGAGTTTCTATGTATGAATATATTCTGTGGAGTCTGTTAAAGCGTCCCTTTGGAAATCAGCCCCTGTTACCAGTCCTAATTATAGCGGTGGGTGCCCAACCGCATCCGGGATCCTGACGATTACTTTGATCAACGCGCACCTTCATTTCTCGAAACGTTTATTTCTGCGCTATAACTGGGCCCTTGCCTGCGTTGAGCTCGGTCTGTAGGCTCGTAAGGGTGCTGTGTGAGTGTCACACCTCCCTTCGTTACCGCCGCGGGGCTCTCTGGGGGCCCGCTCGGTGTCACGGGCGGAGGTCGGGTGGCTAACGGTCCCCGGCGGGCTGCGGGAGCAAGCCGCTCGCCGCTCGCGCCGCCTGTTTTCAGCGATATAGAGCGGCGTGTTTTGCGTCGGCCGAGCAGTCTGATCGACCAATGGAATACGTGTATTGTTTTCCGCGTGAATATCGACGGCCACCATTTATCGTAACAGCACTCTTCTGGAGTTACGCTTATAGCATTACCGCTCACTCATGTGTGCCCTGGTTAATATAGTGATTGACGTTTGTCGTATTCTAAATATGATATTTCGGCAAAGTGATCTACCGATAATTGTCAAGTGCTCGAGTGAGCTGCTAGCGAGCACAGCTTGACGCTAGAATGCCAGAGTTAGCGCGTCCCGCTCATGATGCTTCTGAGGCTTCTTTTTCTGTGGGTATTCGAAGTTGTGTTAATCTTTCCTGTCCCATTGTCCTTTTCTGGTTGAGCGTAATTTTAGACGTGCTCAAAGAGCCAAGAAGAGCAGCTTTTACCAGATATTTGTGTCCATACTTCAGAGCATATAGATTGACTTTGCTTGTATTGAATTAGTTCCGCTCCTTAGCAATTCCAACACAATTAACCCGCGCCCCACTGGGGTCTGCGTATAACACGCCCTACTGGGGGGGGGGGGGCTATTCATAGCCCCCCCTCCTAACTCCGAAACTACTGGGCCGATCGTTAAAATTCAAACGGCGTCTGATAGCCCCGGAAAAACTGTCGAGCGAAACCTAATTTCATTAACCTCGAGGTCACCGATGACGTCACAGGTCAGGTCAAAGTAAAAATTATTAGCATTTTGGCTTGTTCACGTTTTGGGCTCTGGCCGCCGGCTTACAAGTCAGATCAGGCTCATTTTTGGAGCACACACTCGGGAACAGATGCTCTAGTTACACTGAGGGTACCAAACTTGTACTTTGATTTTCAGGTCAAGGTCAGGTCATCACAGGTCATGAAAATATTACAGGGTGTCCGGAAAGTCCTGGCGCTTTCCAACATTTTTGAAAACAAATGCCTCTGGTTGATTGATACTCAACAAAAGATCAAAACAATTATCAGGGACACCAAACCATATACTTCTGCTAAGTGCTCATTCAATATAACCATCGTCGGCACCGACGACAGCCTCGACGCAAGGGCGGAAGCACCTGCGTGTTTTGACGATGTAGGACATTTCCAAGTCCTCCCATGCTGCCATGTAGCGAGTATTCAGCGACTCCAGGTTGGGATGACAGGTGGCCCAGAGCTTATTCTACAAAACGCGTAGCACGCCTTAGTCAAGCGGGTTAAGGTTAGGCGAATGAGGCGGCCTAATCTCATTTCGCCAAAGTGATCTGGCCCGCCGAGCTCCTCCGTCAGTAGGTATGGCTTGGGCGATAGCGGCATTGTTGGAGGGCGCTTCGTGCTGTCGAAAAGTGAAATGCGAAGTAACCCTTAGGGCAAGTCACCTTGACCCTCGGGCTGATATGCCTGTTCAGGATTTCCTCGTGGACCAGCCTGCGTTTTAATTTATCTAAAATTGACGAAGATATGGAACATTTTTGTCCATCACACCTCTGGATTTTCTTCGATTACCGCGGAAATGCCGCTAAATTCTCGGCACTTTTGACATAGCGCGGTCGTACCGGTCTGGGGGTTATTTCTAAAGGAATTCCCGAGTCGGAATAAGCCTTCACCTGCTCAACCATGCGCCAAAAACCGCCGCATCGCGCTGTAACTCGCATATCGTTCAAGCCGCACCCGGCCGCCGCGCGCAGGCATTCCGCGACAAGGCGCATCTTCGCCCATCCACCCGTCACTAAAAACGATTTCAAGGCCATGTTAACACGACCCCTGGCTAAGTGGCCAACAAGGGGTCATGTCTGTGGTGATTAGTTGAATGTTCAATAATCACAGCACGCGTTAGACGGCGTCCAATAGAAGCGCCAGGACTTTCCGGACACCCTGTATATCATGCGTCGGTCACGTGACACATGTTTTATGGTCCACTTAGGTCAGAGATTTCGAATTTGATGTCGTCTGTGTCATTCGAGGTCATTTTGAGTCGAATTTAGCTTATGTTAGGTCACTCAGGTCAAAAAAGGTCAAATTTTGAAGTTAAAATTTTTAAACAAAAAAGGTGCCTATTGGATGCAGTTTGAGCTCAGGAACACGATGGTGCTCTTTATATTAGCGTACGATGTCAAATACGTGCTGAAAAATTGATTTGAAAAATTAATAATTGTGAATTTTTTGCAATAATGCGTAAAACTTGGCCATTTTTTGAAGATATTTAGCTAAGACTTGCTAGAGTTAGTCATAATAATGCGTTCTATCACATATATTCCGGTTTTTTTTCGAAAAGTCAAAAACTTTTTAAAAAAATGTAAAAATATAAATTTTTGATATTATTATATCAAATTTTCAAAATTTTGAAAATTTCGAAAATCCGAGATAGCAGTTTGATAGCGCAGTTTATTCTTAGTCCTCTCATGCAAAGAAATTGGATCTAGCTTAAAAACTGAGCTCTTGGGAGCGATTGCCGTGGCTCAATGTTTTGCGTCGAAATCGGCCGAACATGACGTCAATCTGACGTCATTTCCGGCCGACCTATAGTAGGTAAGAAGTTCAAACTTTGACACAAGGTGTCAAATTGATGCAGCCTAAGGTACTGGAAGTTTGGTGTCGATACGTCAAGCGGTTTGGAAGTTATTGCAGAAAAACGGGAGGGTGGCTATAAATAGCCCCCCCCCCAATGGGGCGCGGGTTAAATATCGTAATAAGCGCAATAACACGGCAACTATTTGCGACAAATGTATTACGATAAATGCAACATGTTTACTTACTTGGGAGCACACCACACGACACGAAAACAAACTACTGTACACACGACACGCACCGAGATACAAAGCGGCTCGCCGCCGGCCGCGCCGGCCAGAGCACATTCGTCGTTAGTGGGGTCACGTGACCTCCTCCTTGTGGTCACAGCGTCCGAGTGCCTATACCTGCCCGCCCGGCACCCTAGGCGACTGCCGGGCGGCGCCCGTAGGCACGTGTACATATAGAGAGCGATACAGATGGCTGACCGCCGGCCTCGGCCGACTGTCGCGGTCTCAGAGAGCCCGGCGCCGGTGTTATCTCGGTCGCCCTCTTCCAGCCTCCCCTCCAGTCGCACTCTGTCCGGAAGTTGAGTCACGTGATTTTACCAGCCCAATGTTGGCGAGGGATGCGACCCTGGTGCACATTTGGTTGCGCAAGGACTTTGAATTTGATTCTCCCCTGTCATCTTTTTGAATCCAGTTCCTTGGTGTTTCCAACTTTATGTGTGGATGCTGTTTTGTGTTGGGAATTATTCTACAAGTCGGTATCTGTGGCCAGTTGTATCTTTTACTCACTTCGAGCAATAGTTTCTCCAGATCTTGCTTTCAGGGCTTACCATGCATCGCCTCTTTCGTTCAGAAGTGACAAGAAATAGGTATATGCTATTGCTGTGCAAACAATTCTTTCGTTCAGTGTGATGCCAAGAGCCCTTTATGTGGAATGACTCCTTGGCAACACATGGTTCCGTACCGAAACGTTCAATATTGCTGGTTCAGCTTCTTCAATTCTCTTTAATTCAAATGCTTCCCGTATAACAGTTTGGATATTAATAACATTGTTTGAATTGTCTGTTTTAAGGTGAGGTGTCAAATAGAAAACGGAACTTTGTGGCTAGTCGATGGTCGAAGAATTCCTTTTTCTAATTACCGAGTATTTAACTATAGCTATAGCAAATATCATGGATTGTCCATATCGATGTTGGGCGATACGCAAAAAACGCAATGCATTCGAATCTAATTGGCAACGTTCACAATGATGATTTCCCATTTCCTCCTGAACTGCATTGTGTCTTCTGGAAATCGCTTTCACAGTTTATCGTCACCGATATTTACTGTCACAGTCGTCGAACTCGTCAGGAGCAGCCAATTGCCCGATGTTCTGATCTTCAGGACGCTCCTATCCCTTCACCCAGGTCGTATGGCAATTCGCCAGCGCTGCGTGGCCACCGGTTACCGGTACCTTCGTCATGGTCCCACGTCCGACCGTCGTGTTATTTCCGCCTCCGGAAGCAGGCGATCGGGTTGAAGTAGCACTGGTGGTAGCGGATCTGCCGCTTGCTCAGCGCCGCCGGCGGCCGCGCCATGGGCAGCAGCTCCAGCAGCTCGGCGGCCGAGCTGCGCGGAAGGCCGTTCAGCCGCAGCTCCGACTCTGGTTGCTGAGGCCGCGCTGCCAGCCCCGACGGCTGACTCCGGTCATGGAGATCGGAGACATACTGAGTTAGCCAGTCCGGAGCGACCTGTCGACAGACGGAGCAGAGACACTGGTTAGTGGGGAGGAAATGAGAGGTAGTTGGGGACAATCTGTTGGTAGATGACATAAATAATAAGAGGGAGGGAGGGAGAGAGAGAGAGAGAGAGAGAGAGAGAGAGAGAGAGAGAGAGAGAGAGAGAGAGAGAGAGAGAGAGAGAGAGAGAGAGAGAGAGAGAGAGAGAGAGAGAGAGAGAGAGAGAGAGAGAGAGAGAGAGAGTGAGAGAGAGGGCCTGGGTCACCCACATTCACAATAACCCGGTTAAAACAGTTTGGATTTAATCGTGCCCTGCACCCTCTGTATCGGCTCTAGGAGGGTGCTCAGGAGGCGGTCCTCTTCTCTGATCTGTGCGGTGATTCCCGTGCAGTGATGCCATTGCCGCTTCCATTCAGCCATGCTATCAATGGGGTCCATGTACGATTGGTGCCGCTTGACCTGTATTGGCGTGACCGGATACACTCACGGTGGTGGGCCACTGGGCCAGGCTTTAAGTGAACGTGGGACGTTTAAATTTGGAATATTGTTTTCATGAGGGACACACATTTACACAGAGGAGGGTATTTGTTTTTATTTTCAGTTGGACGATTCACAACATTTGGATAATCCTACTAAGGCACGATATACCTACTCGTGCGTTCAAACGATGCCCTGTGACGAGGCTGGGTAGCATCGTCTGTGGCTCGCACTAGGTTACACTAATATTGGCGCAGCGCCCGTCCGCTGCATCTATTACCGCCCCAGGCCTCAGGATGCCGGCTGTTCCTCGCCGCCCCTCATATGACACCGGCGCGGCGCGGCAACATCTGTGACGCGGCACGGCGGCGTATGTGACGCGCTAAATGGGTGGAAAATGAGCCACGTTTGCCGCATTTCCTTGTCACTGCGCAGCTATTACCTCACGTATCGAAACCTGCGATGCATTTTCTGACCGATCGGATTTGATAGATTCAGTAGACAAACACTCAGCATAAGTAGGTGATTGAGCGCCTGTGCTGAAATGGCTGAGGCATTACGTTCTTTTTGTATATCAATGCTCTCTTGTAGCTATGCCGGATGTCGATCGATCGACAGTTGCGTTGACCTTATCAGATAGTGTGACGTAATCCGAGCAAATCGTTGTGCACATCGCTCTTTTTTTAATCATTCAATGAATGGTCTCTTTCAAAGATAAAGAACTCCTTGCTATTGAGCTGATAAAACTTATCCCGATATGAACTTGGTTATGAAAATAGATGGACTTTTTTGAATTTTTCAGTCCTTACCCATATGATTTCCTATCTGTGGCACTACACGATGCACTTTGTAAATTGGTCTATGTTTTAGGCAGTCCATAAAATAGAAATGAAATTTATGGACGACCTAATATAACTACGTCAATGTTATGGAGGCATGATCCAGGTGTCTTATTTTTCCTGAGGTTGGGTGAGATTCGTTAAATTAGAACTGCTCATCTGCCGATGCATGAGTGACCATTTTGAGGGTACCTAAAATGTATCTGCAATCTAGTACACATCCTGGGTTGTTTCAATATAGACCAATGCTCATCCCTTCCTGAACTGTAAAAAGCACAAATCTCGGTTGCTCCCACACGATGCTCAAAGTCGTTATTAGAGACTCAGCCAGCACAAATCACAATCACAGAGGTCAAACTGCCCACAGAGCCTGGTAACCAGTAACCACGCGCAATAAACCCACATTCAGCCGAATAAATCATCCGAACCATGAGTGGGTGGTAGCTTCTTTGCACAAACTAAAACCAGTCGCTCCCATATCTTGCCGTTCTGCTGTTACCAGTCCGACAGGGGGCGGGATACAAGACAAGACCGAGTCTGTACACTTCTGAACCGCAGTGCGGTCAGTTCAGCCCCCGCGTGTCCGGTGGCTGGGTGTCCTCTCCCGCAGCCGTTGTACCAAACACCTCCGTTTGCCGAGAGGCCGCGCCGAGCGCTGGATATGTCCCAGTGAGTGCCGACGGACCCGCTAATGCCCGCCACGCCCGTTATGGCAGCCGCACAGAGTTAATGGCTTCCTCAGAGGTGTGGCGAAACCCCGGCCATTCAGCCGTCAGTGCTACTTAGCTGATGACCGTTAAAGACGCCGAGATGGCATGCACACACCACTTACACCGTAACTGAGGGCTCAAGGTGATAGGCACACTGGAATATTATGTAGACACTGGTTTACATGACAGAAATAAGTTCATCTTATGGTGGCTAAGCAACTAAGTTGTACTAACAATATACGAGTATTGTTGCATGTTATTGTTATTGTTGCTCGTATGCATGTGACTAGTCACGTAAACGGCGAATACATATGTACGAATGTCACCGTAGAAAGAAATGGGCATGCTAAGTAGTTTTTATTCACTTGGTAAGAAAAAGATGAACACTTAATGAACAGGAACATAACCGCCTGATGATGCTTCTTCGATACATCAGCAATATTGTTTGGAAAGCCGCTGGTGTGAAATTGATATAGCATAGGCATAGGTAAACAGACGATGGATACCACGCTTTAGTTGTCAGACGGATGCGCCGTGGGGCTGCATATCTATATTCGGAGGGGCAGTTGTCGATCGCCAGCAGAAGCCAATACGGTGTCACCGATTGCCGTGAGCCTCCGGTTAATCTGTCTGAATACACGCCCGATAGGCGGAAAGGTGAAGCTAGAACGTAGTTAATAAGGCTAAACTAACATGTGCCTCGGAATAATGTATGTAGTATGCGAACTGAAAAGACCAAACTAAATTTTGTTTTATTACCAACCTCAAATATCAACGATTTCCAAGAAATACGCGGCCAGTGAACTGAAGCACAGTGGATTAGGAGGATGCTATTACATTCGTCCATTCAATACTCGACATTCCAAACATCCATCATCGCCCGGAGTGCGCTAACCGATCTCGGACTAGGGGTGCCCTGACCGACCCCGCACGATGTCCTGACCGACTCTGGGGTGCCCTGACCCGCCGCGGGGCCGCTGTGGGCCCAGAGAAGTCACTCAGCACCTGGCGAGTGTGCCGCGGTGTGAGGCCGGACCCGTGGCGAGCCCACGGGGGACTGATGGCCGGTGTGGCAGACCGCGGCGTCCCGCTGGTGGCCCGGGAAGGTTAATGGTGGGGAGTGGGGAGTGGTAGGTCACTCGATGGATCTGAGCGCGATCTGTGACCACTACAGCCAACGGCAGAGGTGGTGATATGACTGGAAGGCGATCGCCGTGACCGGTGATATGCTAATGTCGGTTACTTTCCTCCAGTCGAAAGTAACTTACAACTTGCAGTCTGCAACTATCCTTATTTTCAAGTAAGTTAAAGTTAAAAATAAGTATGGATTTTTACACGCCACATAACGCAAAAGTCTATCAAGGAGAATTGAAGCAATTGAAGCCTGTTACCTATCGCTCATATAACATGAAGTTTGCTTGAAGTAACAGTTCTGTTTATAATCAAGGTAGGAGCCTGCGTATATATCAAACTTTTTTAGGAAGGAACTTGAAGCCATCTTGCTGATAGCGTCCTTTCTCTGTGTAAATCAATCAAGTAATGCGCTCAATTAGCGGAGCATTCTAATAAATGTACCTGTTATAGGTAATGCATTTGGCATTGATTGATTTAAAAAGTCCTGAATCAGTTGGACCACAGGAATGACACAAGAGTGCTGGATAGCATCGTCTGTGTGTAGAAAAGCATAAATCAAAGTGCGCACACCAAAACACTCTCTATATAGCTACATCAAATCGCCTTTGTTTACAATTTCAGCGCCTACCAAATTTAACATCATGTGCGAGACGTTTGCCTAACTAGACATAAAATAACAGAGACCCAAGGCCAGGGGACATACTTTGACCTATAATATCAACTCAGTAAAGGAAACTTTGGTTTTACGAATTCATTAAGGGTAATCGAGCCTAAAAAGCGTTAACATACAAGTCGGCACAACTACAATTAAATAAAATAGAGTGGGTTTCGAAGCATAACCAACGTAGACCGTGTCTCATACGAGCTTGATGATACCAAAGTCTTTGATGTTATGTGGTGCCATCAAAAGATCATTACTATCCATTCGGTAAAGTCTGATTGGACGACGTCACGACAAGCAAACAGTTTCCAAGGTGTTTGTATCATCAAGGGGGAGCAATTATCATGCATATAACCACGGTCAATATTATGCTGGAAACATTTATGAAAAGATGAGTTGCAACCTTTTCTGGTGGCTGCATTATTGGGCTAGTGATAAACGAGACAACAGCATTGTTATCAAATCGGTAGCACTGCTTTATTTCGCTGAGATTTATGACCGGAATCGTTTACAATAAAGGCGGTCCATGGACCTCTACCTGGGACATATGGTACTCCAAGCCTGAGGTAAAATCTAAAAAAAAAACTGACCCATGTGTGATTGATGAAACGAAATTGATTCTCTCTCTAGATATGGCGCCCTTCGAGCTCTGATTCACAAGCTATGGTGACATTTGTCAGAAAATTTCAATGTCAGGAATATTGAAGGGAAATATTTCATCCTTCCTGAAATATAATCATACTAAATGTTTCATAAACCTCTTAATGAAACGTGGAGAGTCAAATGTGCAGCGGTTTTAAACTTAACTCCTTCAGATATTTACCCGGGCTAGTCACCGACCGTGCAGGGAGCTCTAAGATTGATTTGATTGCGATTAATCATGCCCTTTCGTTACAAAGAAAACAACAAACATTCGCAAACATCAGAAATATTAAAGAAATTGAGGGCGTCCAGAGATAGAACTCTGTCCACAGAGTTAGGGAAAGATTGTATTGGTCACTCGTTGTGTATGCCGCTTCGTATTTGCTCCGACAAACACGCAACAAACTGTATCGTAAAGCACAGATTGCAAAGCGATAACTCATGTCCTTCAGCAGTTCTCGTGGATATATGTTACTCTTATGAGACACTATCCGTGACGTAACGACTTTTAATCTCTAATGGTTCCTTATTTTCGTAGACCGTAGCCGTTGCTGCACCTATGCGTGACGGTGGGAAGTAATCGTGAGATCCGCACAGCATTATCTAGACACGCTGGCTGGCCTGATCATGCACTGCGCATTCGGCAGCATTTCAGTCCCACTGGTATCACAATGAGGAGCTAAAAAATGCAAAATCTTGTGACTAGTCTGAAGAAACTTCCTTTCGATCCCATAACGCAGGTCTATGTACCTACTTTTACTGTTTCTTCTCTGGTGATTTGCCCGCAACACTTTATCGCAATATTACACACAAAGCTGCCACCCTGCTTTGCAACGAGTGAAAGACCGTCTCCAGAATAGTGTTAATACATAACATCCTTACATGTCTACACACTGAAGAACCAGTTCTGAACAAACCGTTCTGAGCTTAGCTGTTTGTTGCCAACAGAGCTCGCCAGTTCGTAGTGCTTAATGCTTTCCTAAGGCCTTGGTGTTGGGGACGGCTCCTTTGAATAGGAAGGGCCTCCATTTGCCTTCTACGTTTCTAAAGCCATTTCATGTTGATCTTCAACAAGCTAGGCCGCCCCACGATGGACCTCGCATGCGGGTTGCGAGTCTGCGGGTTTCGGGTTTGCGGGTATCATATTCATTCATGGAGTGAGAACATGAACTTTTATGCTCACTACATGAAGGCTGTGACGCCGATACTGATACACCTGCAGAAAATTACTTATTGTCTCAATAACAGCACAAAGAACTTAACACCGACACCAACAAAACAACTCAAAACTCGCAGCTCTCGCAGCATGCGTGCCTTTAGATAGGCAGTAGGTACCTATTCACTCGCCCTCCCTTTTGATGCGAGCAGGAGTCTTTGGCACAATATCAGCTCTAATTAACAGCTTCACCAGTTAACGATTATAAAATAAACGCAAATCTTGTAGCCTTATTATCGGAATAAATCTTGAGCGGAAAGCAGATTTCTGGCTCTGGGACCCTCTGAATTATCATTTCCTGATGTTGAATCTATGAAACAAAAAACTTCATATTGATGTAAAATATGCATACCTATGCGTTTAAACATGTTGCTTTTTGCCAAGGTGTTTCTGTGTTAAATTGATAAATATGTACAAGAGCTATTTTAAACAAGATTATTTTAAATGTCGTATGATGTTCCAAGCATTTTCAGACACGGTCTTACATCAAAACGGATTGTCAGCTTGTTTTCGTAAGGCATTGTCCCACATGGTGTGTTAATTTTATTCCTCACACTTCTCAGCACTTACTCCTGAGTCTCCTGAAGCCAGCATCACCCTAACACCACCACTCCTACGCTCCTCACCACTATTCCTATACGCTGGTGACAGTCCTTCATCACCATTCCTTAGCCGAGGACAGGTTCCACCTTACCACCATTGCTGGACTTGAGCGCCGGTCCCTCACCACCATCCCCGGGCTGGTGACGCTCCCTTACCGCCACTCAGCCCTCTCACTGCCCCGCCCGATCACCTGAGCTACCGCAGTCCCTCTGCTCACCTGGGGCGCTGGTCGAGGCACGGGCAGCAGCGCGGTCGGCTGGCCGCCCTCCAGCCAGCTCCGTTCGGCCAGCGGGCCAGCGGAGGCCAGCGGTCGGTGGTGCAGCGCCAGCAACGCCGCCAGGCCGACCAGCAGACGGGCGCACGCGGACCGGGCCGGCGGCGGCGCCATCGGGACTGCAGAGCGGGCGGCGCCGGACTGGGCACGCCGAGAGTGCTCGGAGGCCTTTTCTAATGTGTCGCCCACTCGGCGGCGCGCGGCGCTATGCGTGAGAGACGCTGCCGGGGGCGGTGGGTGACCTGGCGTGGGTGACGGGACAGCGGTGATGGGATGTTGTCTTGGTCATAGTGACAAATGTGCCGGGAGGACAGACGGTTTGTGATAAATGTGACTGACATTGACTGGACATGTGGAACTAGGTGTGGGCGTCGAGGGATATGGGACGATAGTGACATTAACATCAACGTGGTTGTATAATGCGGAGTGTGGCTGTGGGTATAGCACGGATCCAGCATACTCCTCGGTACTTTTTTATTTCTTTGGTCTGTATCGAAAGCAAATCTCTGCTTTCATAAAGCATGCGTTAAAGATGTAACGGGAGCTTGCAAATGGGCCACGATCCTTGCTATTGAAGGCACGGTCATAAACAACCGAATATCAGTCCATTTTTGGCCATCCTGTCCCTCCTATCCCGAATCCAACTGTTCTTGACGTATCTGCACGTGACCGTCAAGGCACGTGTCACGCGCTCGACCAGGGTTGTTAGACTTAAAATCGTCCAGCTCACATAAGTTGCACAATGACTAAAGCGCTAACATCTTCGACACTCGCCGACAGATGAGTGTTTACGTGTCACGATTGAGGTGTTCGCATGCATGCGCGCACGTGCAACTCTAAGGTGCCCGGATAGGTGGGTGGCCCGTACACATTACTCGGGGTAAACTTTGCACCTCCCCCTGCTATAGCCTTGTGCTAGCGGGGATACAAAAATAAAAAAGGTAATCTTCGCACGTGCAAACGTGTGGAGCCTTCCTACCCACATTGTTTTTAGTCAGATACTATGCCAAATAAGACCACATCTGAGCATGTGGATTTATCCACATGCCCTCCAGTGTTAGCGGTATGTGAAATTAGCAAGTACTTTTGAAAATTCACATAGTAAACGTAGCCAAGGATAAACAGGTGAATGCACGATTGGATGTGTTTTTGACAATTGAATTTCACCGGACGAATGGCCTTTTACGCTCAAGATAAGATTAAGTACTATTCAGTACTACACATAGCAACCAGTATAGCGCCTTTTGGGGCGACTAACGGAGCGAGCAAGGGGGTGAGTATTGCACGTGCGAAATTTCGAGGGGGCACCTCCAACTGACTTTAGCACGGCACCCTACTGATCGGTTTCTAGCGATGTGCCAAATTTGAGCACAATCGGCCCAGCCGTTCTCGAGATCTGGGAGCGGCACCCTGCACGTGCGCACGTGCAACATGGGTCCCAACTGCCTTGTGCACGGCACCCTACTAACCGGTCCCAAACTGTGTACCAAATTTGAGCGCAATCGGTCGAGCCGTTCTCGAGATCTGGAAACGACCCCTGCACGTGCGCACGTGCAGCAGCACCCCAACTCTGGCACATGGATATGCAGTGCCTAGTGGGTGCCTACCTACATGCCAACTTTGAGCGCAATCGGCCAAGTAGTTACCGAGATATTGCAACAATTGCAAAACTGACACCTCTTCGTTTTGCACGTGGCACGTGCATAAGGGGTCACCCACATGCATCGGGAATAGTCCAATACTTGGTAGAAGGAATAAAGCTACCGTACAAAAATTACCGCGTGTAAATCGGTCAAGTGGTTGCTGAGATATAAGCCTCGCAAAAGCGTCCGCACGGCCGGCCGGCCGGCCGGCCGGCCGCTCATACTCAGAAATTTCCGTTAATCTAAGGAAAGACTACGCTCGCTTCGCTCGCTCCGTAATAAGACATAGGGGTCGCGATAATGGAAGATTACAGAAACAAGTAAAAAAGTAATGATTCGCGAGTTTCGCACACCTCAATCACATTTCGAAGGAAGAATGACAGGTCGATTGCTGAGGACGGTTACAGTAATTTAATTTAACACAAAATCCTGTTATCTCCATGGAAACACTGCGAACAGCGAATACAGACAAGTGTCAAATGCTGCCCAAATACCGGTAAATGGGTATGATCATGATCATTACAAGAATAGAAAATTTTGTCGAGATTAGTCTAGTAGTAAAAAGTAGGAAGTTTCACGAATGCTGGGAGATAGCTATCATATTTCGCTAGCTGCGAGTGACGTAGCCAGATATAACCTGCACCTTAACTCTCCTTCCCTTTACCGTCTTCACTCTAAGCTCTCTCTGGGACGATGTTGACTCACTTCGGCTGTGTAAACCCTCACAAACCTATCATTGAAGGTTTTTCTTACTTAATGAGCATTGTGTAGCCCTATATTGAAATAAGAGCAGTTACAAAACTGTAAAGTCTTTGGCATCACTACATTCACGTTTTGACGAGCTACGTTCTCTGCTTGTGTTACTTGCGGGAACAAACACTAAAAACGATCATTTTTTATCTGGAGGTCATGCGAGTGCTGTTCGACATAAAGCTGTTTCATATTAAGCGGTAGGATATTTATAAATATCACCGGATCTTACACCTACTGGCGCCACGCCGAACCGGCCGTAATGGCCTCTTCATGGAGTTTCGCTCTTAGCCCTGAGTTCGGCCAGGCACAGCGCTAAGTATCCATTGAACGGGCGCTGCCTTTTTCTGCGGTGCAGGCGCCAACGCAACGACGGGGCTTTCAGTGAAAGCGCTTGTAGCAATGATTTTAATGTGTGCCTGAGGTTTCACTGTGGCATAGTTTTCTCATTGGAAAGTGAGAATATAAATAACATTACGAAAATGCGAGAGTATTACCTGCAAATGCATAAGAATGTCCTATAGCATCTTTAGTCAAAACACTGGTCGATTTTTACTGAGCTTCAATTATTAATGAAACAAGTTCATGGAACGTTGCACGCTGGTCCGAACTCATTGGCACCAACTCAATAGCAAACTGTTTTTTTTTTGTCTAGGCAGCAACTTATTTGCATATGATATGACTTCTGCACTCTGTAGGTTGCAAGCTTTACGTTATCAGTTCTACTGTCATCGCTTGATACTTGAATATGGGTATGCACTATTGTTAAGCCATTTTTGCTATTTTCCCTTTGCAGAATGCCTCGTTCGGTTATAAAGTTCATCCTTTACGGTAAAACGAGCCAATAACGGCGCGGTCGACCACAAAATATTTCTTAGTTATTCCTTAAATATCTTCAGTTCATCCACGCATGCGGCCCACAATAAGTCAAAACTATCGGAAGGCTCCCTCAGAACGATATAATAAATTGGCTGTACAGAGCTTTGGCTGGATGTGGTAATGTAGATTGCAGTACAGTTTGCATGATGAATGAACGGTTACGTTCTCAGAATTGTTGTTTTGAAGCATGCATAGGTTATGGATGAGTGCCTTATCGGTGTTCATTGTTCAAGCGGCTCATCAAGTATGTGCCCGAAGAGTTTAGAACTCCTGTGGGCTGTCTGTGCGTAGAGCGTACTACAGGGCAAAACAGTAAAGATTCTCGTCAGCAGTCAGACTTGACATGCTCCGATGCATCGCAATGTTATGCAACTATTTTGTCAGCGATACGTTTGACTTCATTTGACGAGTTTGCACCTTCATTCCTGCGTGACGTATCGTGCGAAACGCAACTCCGAGATCATGCGCTGTCGGCGCGCTATGGACAGCAGCTCAGTGACGCATGATCGGCCAGAGCGTCACGCAGTCGGCCCGGGCCGGGCACAGGCGTGCTCCAGCGATCCGGCGCCGCAATCCTTTCCACGCCACTGGTAAGGCACGCGTCGGCAGTACAAAAGCGGGTGGTAGCTGCTGGGAAGGCACCACTCGCAGCAGCCGCAGTGTCCGCTGTCTGCTGACCAGGTGTTCCAGCTGCTCCGTGACCTGACCCCCTAAGAGCTCGGCCCGGCGTCCGACAGCACGCTGTCCCCATGGCGCTCACCAGAGGCCTCTGGCTGGTGGCCGTCGTACCGGCGCTGCTGAGCCTGCACAGCGCTGTGCAGCCCAGCTCGGCCGCCACGCTGCTGGCGCCACCTGTCAGCGGGGACGCTGCAGCAGAGTCTGCGGGGTCGCCGGTAGATGGCGGTCGGCGCGGTGACCCCAGCTCGGCCGTCAGCTCGCCGCTGTACGGAGAGACGCCGCTGACGCTGCGGCGCGCCGAGAGGGCGGCCGACGGCGCCGTCCAGGGCCGCGGCTACAACGACAAAAAGTACAGCAGCAAGTACGGCGACAAGTACTACGGCGACAGCGGCCACGGCGGCAGCCACTACGGCAACGACGGCTACAAGGGCGGCAAGTACTACGACTCGGAGTACGGCCACCACGGCAACAAGTACGGCGCGAACGGCCACGGCAACAAGAAGGGCTACTACGGCGACCACGGCAACAGCCACCACGGCTACAAGGGCGGCAGCAAGTACTACGGTGACAACCACGACAAGTACCACGGCAACAAGGGCCACAAGTATGGCAACAAGGGCTACTACGACAAGGGCCACAAGAACAACGGCTACAAGAACATCCACCACAAGGAGGACTACCACGCCAAGAAGAAGTTCTACGACAACTACCACGACGACGGCTACCACAACAAGTACAGCGACCATCACGGATACTACGGCGGCGGTGACGGCAAAAAGTACCACGGCGGACACTACAAGAAGGGACACTACGACCAGAAGAAGGGTCACGACGGCTACTACAAGAACGGCCACGACTACGATAAGTACGGCGGCAGCAAGGGCAAGTACGGCCACGACAACCACAACGCCTACAAGGGCAACCACGGCAAGTACCACAGCGACAAGTACAAGAAGGGCAGCCACCACGGCAGCAAGTACGGAGATGGACACGGCGGTGGACACGGTGGTGGACACGGTGGATACGGCGGTGGACACGGTGGATACGGTGGGGGATACGGTGGCGGATACCACTAGACGTTAAGAGCTTTAGAGTTCTTGTTACTTGAGCTATTTGTACGAAATGTATCTCGCTAAATATTGTTGCGTGTGCCGTGTATAACGTTGTGTAGATGTTCTTCATGAAATAGTGGTCGAGTGTTGTGAATCTTGTTTACCTTCAATCATGTATGTCTTGGGGTAAATAAACTTGAGTGTTTGAACCTGTCTTTTTACACATAGACTTAGGCATCCCGGTTCGTGTATTGTCTTTACACTATTCAATCGCAATGACGTATCTACATATACACAGTTACAGTTGGATACCTGCATCGTTTGTACGCATAACATGTAATAAATACCAATGCGCCCAAAGTCCAATACCATGCATACAAAAAAGGAAATTAAATGCCCCTTCTTACACGGGTTATGCAGTTAACTTTTAAGATGTTTTCAATATGCAATTTTAGTCCAGCTGTTAAAATTTCACTTAAAAATGTAATTTACTTTCAGGCAATTACTTAGAGAATCCAGGCAAATACTTAGAACGGAATCCAGGCAAATCACTGGATTCCGATATCAGTTTCATGGCCATTTAATTTCACACGCAGTTATCTTTCGTCCGCCATTTGCCACTTATATACCATTGTTGGCTAACAGGCAAACGAACGGAGATTTGAGAATCTCGTTCAAAGTAATTTTCAAGACAAATTTATTAAGACTTGATGAACAGTTTTTCCCTCCATTAGGTATACCGCCCTTAAAAGCTATGCTAATTTTCTCGTAGTTTAGTCGCTACATGACCTCAGAGATAGATTGAATGAAAGAAGGGTGGCGTTTTTCGTTCCGTGTTCCAAAGACTGTCTCATGAAACCTTCTGAGCTAGGTTTTGCGGCCTGCGGGTATTTTAATGACTTGCTCAAACAAAACAAAATTTCAATTTTCGACTGGAATAAAAATATTACAACCATGCACGATTGGTTGCGTCATTTCCTCGATTTTTTCATTTCATTGAAGATGAAAGTCGGCTTTAATAAGTGTATTTTTCTCCGTAATATGCAGCGTCTCGTATAAACGGCGCAAGAACGGCAACAGACAAGTGTTTTGACAGTCATTATACCTGTCTTATACGCCTTCATAAATATATTTTAGGCTTTAAGACATCTAAAACAGATGTAATTAATTGATAAGAATGAGCTGTCTTATTGTAATCTGACGGTATGCATGAATGCTACGAATAATCGTAAGAATTTTACAGCGATATATAACAGATGTTCACATTTTCCCTGTGTGCCTAGGTTAGCAGTAAGACGTCTTTTGGGGCGATAAACGAACGAGCGCGAGTGTGAGGGAATACCTCCAACTGATTTGTGCATGGCACACTATAACCGGTCTACAGCAGTGTGCCAAATTTAAGCGCAATCGGTCCAGCCGTTCTTGAGATCTGGAAGTGTCACCCTGCACGTGCGCACGTGCCAACTGGCTCCATCTGACTTTTGCAGGGCAGCCTACACGCCAGCCTCTAACCG